TTTCAGGAAATGTCACTCTCTGAATTAGAAACACTTCACCAACTATGCGAATTAGAACGAACACAAATCCTACAATCACTTGCACTAGCAGTATTAAAAATACCCTACGCAGGATATTTACTATCAGGAAATAGATCAATTTTTTTAGACTACGAAGGAAACATTTTATGGTTTTATACTTGTACCAAAACATTATCACCACTATATGTTTTTGAAGATAAAAGATGCTATAAAAGAATCCCTATCTTTTATAAAAATAAAGTACCTTTTGTTGACACACTTTCAAGACGAACATATTTCTGGGATACCGCAGTCCCATGTGGATCAGAAAATAGCCACAATATAGTACAATTGAACCCAAATGAAGATAAATATTATCTTCTTACCCCATACCCCACATTAATGCAATCACTCAAAAAATTTTCACCTGAAAGCATTTGAGCTATTGCTCGAAACCCAAATATCGATTTACAATCAATTGGAATATATTCAAAATCCGATATCCAACATCACATTAGAACACAACAATTCCAGGAATTATTAACACAAATGGACACTATACAAAGACAATCAATTGACCAAAACTTACGCAAACTTGCCGAAACAGCAGGATTTGCAGATATCTATACACAAGATTATAGCGGATATTTTACAGACATTAAAGACTATATATATCTAAACGGTGAAAAATACAAACCACAAGATATTTCACCTATAAATATTTTTAGCTTTGTTACACTAAAAAATGAAATTCTCGATTTTCTAGGATGGCCATATTACATCTTAGAAAAATTAACTATCTTATACGCAATGTTTAACTTTATAGGATTTCTTTTTTCACTTTTAAAAGGAATCTATAATACATGCGCTATACACACACAAGTAAATAGACAAGCAAGTGTAGCACGCATACTATTTGCAGGATTTTTGGAATTTTTTCATCATCAATAAACAAAATTCTTCTAGACGCACAAATAAAAGAATATAACACAAAAATAGCGACAAGACAGAACACGTACGACGAAGAACATAATAATATAGAAGTAACGCCTACAGCACCACAGTTGCCACCCCTACCACATAACCATCCATTATCCTTAGTCCCACGAAATTTCCGAAACTTAGCAATAACACATAATCCAAGTTTTAGACCAAACATATCGCAAAGTCCCATACAACATATAATGACACATCATTCACAAGATGAAAATACATATGAACAAATTATCGAACAACCCCATACCACCGCTTTTCAGTCTCAAAATAATAATTTTTTCAGCCCACGATGAGCCGACAACTTGGATCCCTACACCGCTCAAATTCCCATGCAACCAACCTCAACACTCCAATTACAATAATTCCACTTTTTGCTTTCCCGCCACCCGATTTCCCAACTAGTAATATAACATCAAGCATGAATTCAGACACTAATTCAGATATTTCAGTTTTATACTCCATTTCACAACTCAATAACCCTAATATAGAAACCCTTGATGAATTTGCAGACTCCGAACCATCTCCATCCAATAATTTTCAAACCAACTCCTCAGTTTTTTCAAAACCCCTTTTTCAACCAATCCCACCAAATAACCCACTCCCGTCCATTTCTACCCCCTCTTATGCTTCACAAGTAACCCCAACCTACTCTTCATTTCATTCAGACCGATCATCCAATTCTCCAGATATTCCCCAAATCTCCCAAGAACTCGATAATTTTATCACCCTACAACAACAACTATTACACCCTAACACCCTCACTATAAATCAGATTTCTTCCACAATAGAATCCTCAAACCCACCTACCCCTACACCCTCTTCAGCTTAAACTGCATCATTAGCACAATCATCCACATCCACCGAATCATCAAATAGCACTAATAGAGCTTATCGCACTTTTAAAAGAAAATTCCCAAACCATCCATTCCCGACCAAACCAGGAACAGCCCGTGAATATATTAATCATCCACATCACACCAAAACGAAAGATTTCCTAGCAATCACCCTACCTTCATTTCCACAGTATACTTTAAATACCCCTCACGACACTAACGACACACGTAGTTTTGTAGATGAACATGTTTTAATGCCTACACTTCATTGGACAACATATTATCATTTTACTAATCCCCTTTGCCTACCGTTATCTAATACTCATAACGATATAGAAGGAATAAAGATATGCTATATCGACTCACCACACCACTAACACATAGACAATTTACTTATATAGGATATAAAAAATCACTAAAAACATTCACTGCACCCCGAGCTAACGAATTTACACTAGAATATTACGACCATAATATCATCCGAACTAAACAAGACCAATTTTTAGATGACGACCGCTTCGCTAACCCACAACTATTAGAAAAATTTTTCATCAAAACACCATATGTATTCACACTCAATATATTTGATCGAAAATATGATCACATCATTTCTGAAGCACTAACTGACATGCAAGCTTACGAAAGTTTTAAAGAAAAATTTCAATTATTTTTACTAACCTTCCACTTCCTTGCACCACATGAACGCAATTTGCACTGCTCACACGACCCAATAACTCAAATGTATATATTTTGTCCCATCACGAAGACCTTTAATGCTGAAGAATCCAGACCCTTCCTTATCCCACATGAATTTATCCAACCTATAGAAATCCCTATATTAGAATTCATCCATAATACTAAATACAATCACAAAATATATAATCTCATTCAAAACACACCTTATGATACACGACATCTTTCAGACATGATACACGACATCTTTCCCCACGGTTTTTTCCCCGACGACTAACAGGTAAGTATAATTTATACATATTCTTCACTAATAAATCTAAATTATTACTAACCATTCTTTACTCATGTCTCATTTAGATTTTTAGTCTTCATCCCACGATCATCTGCAAAAAACAGAAAAGAAAAATAAAAAACTAGTTAAAATTCTTCTAAACTCAATTAATATTTTGCACTAGATAAATATAATAAAATTCATACGAATGTAGTAAATTAATTTATATATTGTTTCCCCAAAAGCAGTAAATTTCATAATGATGAAAATTTGTAACTTAACTTTTCCCCAAAAACTAGCAGTAAAATTAAAATTCTATGTAGTAAATTGATAAAATAATAATGCAGTACTAACCTTTTGATAGTTTCATTCACTCGCACAGGAATTCTATCCAAACTCGTACAGCTCGCCCACGAAGAATTGTTTAAATAATGAATTTCAGTTTCAAGTTTTCACACTCAACAACTCTAACACAAGATAACAAGTTTCAAACTTCCGTTTAACCCGGGTGGAAAGGAATTATATACTAAACCAAACTAACCAACGCAGCTTACTAAACACCACAAATCATAAAATAACAGCATGACTAAGAAAAGAAAACCAACGGTACCCAAACCGGATTAACCCAGTTTAAAACTGGATAATTTATTCTTTTGAAGACTATTATAAAGTCTAAGAAAGAAATAATAAAACACAAAAAAGTCGAAAGACAAACCCATAACAAAAACATTTTGATTTTTGAAAAAAGGACACAACCAACGGAACATAAGAAAGGACACCATAAACCCAACATAAAACGTTATCACATAACAGGACCTCTCACAGAAACCGCACGAAATCATACCCCCACTCCTGGCCTAACCCACCAGAGAGGACGTCCTGAGCATGCTCTATAGCCGGCCTAACCCACCGCGCTACATCCACGCTTTGTGACCACACTTCTATTTTTAATAAGAGGTGCTCAAGGGTGAGTAACTCTTCAAAATAACCGAACTAAAACAAAAAGCTTTTGTGAAAACAACTAACCAAAATCATAATTAAAACAGTGAACTAATAAAAATTTTATAAAATGTAAATCATACTTTGCAGTATATAGATCAGCATACAACAACAAAGACGAACATCCAAAGACAAAATGACCCCACTACACTCGAAAAAGAATGGCCAACCACAACCAATATGCCGTCCACAATCACAACTCAAAGGATTTAGAGTACGACTTGACGTCGCAGAAAAGGACTTCATTGAATTAGACCAATGACCACCTCGATGTTCAAGTATACGTACAGATCCGAGTTACAAGGCATCCCCTCCACGCACAATCTCCACGCCATTCCCAGACGAGGTCGAACACAAAACAAGTTCTCTACATATTACAGAAAAACCCGTCATAGCAAACCATTCTGAAATCAGGTTGATTTCGTTGGGAAACACAGTCGTTGTCACAAGAAGACACAACAATTGATGTCCCTATCTCCAGCATCCTGGAACTTCTCTAACAAGAGAAACCGGACAAGAATACGATGTTTGTCAAATACCAACGTTCATCATCCATCCTTTGAATTGCAGAAAGATAATTCTAAAAAACTCTGTAAAACCCGGATGAGTGGAACCTGATCTAAACTATATTTTATGATTGGATAAATTAGATATTTTACCACTGTAAAGTATTTAATATTAACCAATCATGATCCATCTAACTAACAACCCACTTATTTGTAAGTGCTGAAATTACTTGTAATTTCAGCACCAGAGAGATTTGAATTTAACTTAGAAATTAGTTGTCTCTCCTAGAGAACTTCAGCAGCCGCAACAAACCAGTATACCCTAGATCTATTGAGCGTAGCAGAGACTAGTTAAATACCCTGCGACTAGAAAGTAGAAGAGTAAGATTAGGATCGGTATTAGACTAAGAAGTTGCACGAATCTATCCGGCCGAAAATAAGATAGCGTGACGAGCAGACGGTGTACCCTATCCGAAATTACTCTATGAGTTAACCACATCAGGCTTAACTCAAAATAGAGATAAAGGGCAACGATGATGGCGTTTAGTTAATAAAACTACTGCCCCTGGTATCTATAACGGATTTTCCATAAATTGATTACCACAAAAACTAAATATTCATCTTCTTTCCAATATTGCGATGTTGTTAACTAGATCTGCCGGATATCATATTTTATGCTCTTGTTAATAGTAGTTTACTCACAGGATTCTATGAGGAGGGAACATGTCTGTAGATCCATCGGAAAGAAAGACAGGTCCATAGGGCACTTGGAAATCACCGTCACTCTGAATTTAAAAAAAATCAACTTTAGTTGCGTGGAGGTGATCAAAACTCAAATGACCGGTGTCTTCATTTTAAGGCTGTTAGTTCTATTCGACCAGAAATAAAACAAAAAAGAAACCAAAATAGGCAGGCAGTTAATTTGCTTGTGAGTTAGTATATAAAAGTTTTGCCGATATATGATATTCGCGATAGTCTGAAACCATTTATCATCAGCCCTTTTAACAACTTCCCCTTTTCTCCCCAAGTTAAAGTTTTATCTTTGTTTCAGGTTGTCTGGTAGTAAATGAGAGTTTGGAGGCGATGGACCAATTGCAAGATTACAAAGGTTTTTGGTTTTCATGAACCATTGATGTGTTTCTGACATGTGTGGGATAAATGGCGAATGTATGGTTAATATTATATTACCTGGTACTCATGAGTAGATCTCCATTTGGGTAAAGTCTCACAAGGGTGTTAGGTTGCATGACGTCATGCTTGAAGGATTGGATGGACTCGGGGAAGAAAATGTCCGGCAGCCAAATCTTACTGGCAAACTAAACACGTTTCTCACTTAGCCTCTGTTCATTTTCTCTTAATGGGGCACATTAGTTTGCCCGAAGTATTAACGGGGTTACTAAAAGAAGCAGATCACTTTAAATCACTGCTAGTTTAACGTTCTGGATTTCACTAAAACTTATTGATCAAACTCTTACTCTCAAAAAAATGCGTCAAAAGGCGGAGAAAAATAGACAACGAAACTCTTTGAGCATGTGTACTACGGGGGGTGATTAGCAATGGCATTTTTTATTTGCAGTGGCTGTTTACCCGTCATTATACGGAAACTTCAATGGTGTGCTTTGAGCGCATTTTTCCGAACTGTAACTAAATTTCAGTACACAATGAGCTTCTATACCTCATAATTTAGGGAGAGTTCGTCCGATCTTGCTCCCTCGGGTGGCGAAAATTTGAGGCGCGGATCATTCCACTTCTGCCTTAGGGCCATATCCAGTCTGAAATTCTAAAACAAAACAAATCTCGCGATTTTTTTTTAAGGTGTTTCATGATTGAGAAGAGGTCGATTTGATACGATTGTTGAATAATTAAGAAAAACTATGAAAAAGGTACTGAAAAATTCAGAATTTCCAGCCGACAGATTACTAGTCAAACTCTCATTCGGTTCGTTTAAAAACTTGGAAATCTTTGAAAGCTACCCACATCGCGCAGGGGTCACAAAGGATGTCTTTCTGTCCTAATCAGGTACCTAATTTTTTTATTGTAATTTAAATTTTGACAATGTTATAACTCGAGCTGGGATCTAGTTAAAATTGGAACTAACCATCTCCACTTCACTAATAGGTCCTAGGTTGCCGAGTAGGACTGTGACGTTGATCAAGACAGGGGGTCCCCCGTAGTTGGGTCTCAGTCTAGAGTCGTACTTGAAGAAGAGTCTGTCCAGGGTGCGGGATACTTCCTCCTGGTGTCGTCTCATGGCCCCATGCTGATTTGGGCCCGAATATCTGGAATCATCAAAAGTAGAGTAAGAGCCTTGTTTCTCCAGGTGTGCAGTCAAAAGTTCATTTGAGAACAAACTAGAAAAGTTGCAGAAAAGAAAACATTAGTTGCTTCAGACAAAATGAATGGCGTCTTTTGAACTAAGGAGGATTGTGTGATTGAGAAACCCTCGTCAGTGCCGAATTTTTGCAGGATATCAACTTTTACAATGCCAGTGTTCAAAATAAAAAAATGGAACTAAATCAATCTATCTTTTCAAGTTCAATGTATACTATTTTTATGCATACTCACTTATTTCCAATTGTGTTTTGAGAATTCTCCCGCTCCAAATTGTTGTTCGCCCGGCATATGACTATCCAAATCAAGTATATCGGAACAAATTTCATTTTCACTGAGTGTTTTTGTTTCATTATCTGTTTTTCGGTCATTTTTACTTGAGAAAAAGCTCTTATAAAACTAATACGCGAATTTGGTTTTTAATCTTGTTCAAATGAGGTTCGCACAGCTAAATCAAATAAAAACAAATCAAAACTGTTTAAAAATTAATGAGCAACAATTTTGAACTGGCACTGTGCTATGATTTAAATGAGAAAATTGCAATGGAAAACTTCGAACTGAAAAACTAACTCCATCATCTATTATTGATCGGTTTTCAGTCTTTTAACATCCGTCCTCTCATAGATGTTAAATTATTGATTATCTTCAGCATTCAGGAGAGTTGGAAATTATTACTTGAACTCCAATTATTGATAATAGAAATCTACCAGATGTTTTCTACCCGATCAATATCAAACTGCCTATAAAAACGAAGAAAAAATGTTTCTGGAGTTCAATCAATTTTAAATTTAGCTTAGCGCACAAAAAGCAAAGCATCCATGAAAAAAGCAAAGCATCCATGAAATACTAAATATGAGGAAGCGTACATCAAAAAATGCAAACTTTTAGTCAAAACTTTCGAAAAAGGGCCCCATAACATCATTTTGATCTGTTTTTAACATACTTCCGGCTCAAACATGGAGAGAAAAATATGATAACGTCTCTAGTGGCATGAAACTCAAATGGCATCAAAGATTAAAAAAAGTTTCCAATAGGCATCCATTCCACGGAACATTGCATTAAGAAAACCGAGAGAAATTTTTGAGAAAGAACAAGGTGTGAAAAGTAGTAAGCTTATAGGCCAAAGGTAATGAAAATAGGGTCAACTCCCCATAGGAAAGTTCCTGAGCTTGCCACGGAGCTGGTTGCTGAGCAACGCTAGCGCAGGTTAATACAATTTGTATTTCGAATTTGAGAAAAATTATATTGAAATTTAAAAATCCAAGCAATTTATCAAAAAATGCTGACTTACTTCCCTAATTCCTAAAGTCTATAGTTGCTCAAATCAAAACGCAATACAACTCTTGGTGGAACTTCCGCACAAAATTATAAAGCTGGTCATAGATTGTACTGAAGCTTCGGCAATCCAGACTATGACCAACTAAGTAGGTTGATGAAATATGCACCTTTTGAGCCCAGCTGTTATACCAACATAGATGAAATGAGTGGAAAGTTGAATCAGTACTTTGATGATCTCATTAGAGTATGTGTTCTATGAAGAACGAGACGTACACAAAATCTCCCTCTGAGGATTTCTCCAAGCAGTTATAAGTACAAACGCAACAATAATTTCTTCTCGTAAAACTGTTGATAACTTTAGAGCGTTTAAAACGTTGAGAGAAACGTTGATAAATTTGGATTCATTGTAACTGAAGCTGCAGAAACTTAAAGACTCAGATACCAGCACTCTTTTATGAACCAAAGAAACACAAATCTGATTTTAAACAACTCGAAAGTTTAAACAAAATCAATAATTAGCCCAAAGTAATAATTAAAGATGGAATAAAAAGCAGTAATCAAATTAAGTAGGCGTTATGAATGATTTTTTTCGTTCTATTTTCTCACCTAAATAATCATCTCAAATTGAAGATGTAAAAAAAGAAAACCCAACCTTGATAAATTTCAGCGTCTCGATAGAGACGTTTCATGAATTAATAGCAACGCTAGATACAAAAAAGCTAGAGGACTGGACGGGCTCCCGCATTTTTTTCCCACAAAAAAAGTAGGCAACTGGCAGTCACTTTGAACAAAATTTTCAAAAATTTAAAGCGCATCAGAAGATTACTAATCAGATAAAAAAAAGACGGCGGTGTCACTATTGTCAAATAAGCTGACAGGGGTGAAGTGGATATCTACCAACCTGCATCACACCTAAACGTTATGGGTAAAAATTTTGAAAAGTGTGTCAATAAAGACTTGTAAAAGCACTTTGCAGAGCACTTAGACTCAAGCCAGCATGATTTGGTCAAGAAACGTTACGTAGTCACAAACCTGCCGTTTCCTCAAGAAATTTCACAATGAGCAAAAATAACTTATGCTCTAGTTTGCTGGAAGTGACAAGCGGTGTTCCACAGGGCTCTCTATTAGGACCAATAAATTTGTATGTTTATAAAAGACTTGCCGGATGACTAAAATTTGATGACACATACTTGTTTGCATATGACCTAAAGATTCTCTCCGTGAATAATTTTAATATCCAAGTAAAATTAGAATTAGACTCCATCGACGCCTGGATCAAAAACCCAGAGAGTCTAGCGATGGATAAATGTTCCAATATTATCATCGGCGGAACTGAGACTCTTTACAAAGTGTTGCCTTAGAACAGTCAGCTGTTATTAAGGACCTAGGTGTGCTTTTTATCTTCTAAAAAGAAATGTTTCATAAGAATTGAAGACATCAAGGGAAACTTGGCATCTGCAAACCTTTTCTCCTACCGGTTCTTACATTTGATTTTCATTGTGTTGCGCTCTCAAGGTCTGACATGTCGAGTCTGGAAAAAATTCAAAAAAGCTCTCCAAGGTATAACTTGGACAAAAGAGGCCATTTACCTCAATCAACTTAAAATGCTAAGTTTGTTTTAAACCCAATATTTCTTCAGCTAAGTGACATTCTTTTGTTTGCTAAATGAGTACTGAAACTGAGTCTAGTCAAGTTTTTACAAGTAAAAGAAAGCACTGGGAAGAAACTCGGCGATTTTTAAGCTGAGTAGAACAAGAACAGAAAAACGAGAGGAGAATTCACGTTTAGAACTCGAAGAGCAATAAACAGATTGAATGAATTTGTGGATTTCACTAGATTGATTGGTCCGAAACACAGAATTTCAAAGACGATTTGGAACTACGTCAAAATAAACTTTTCAGGAACTATTAATTGCTACTTGTATGTAATTGCAGTGGCTGTAGAAAATCGAGGAGGAACTTATAGAGAACTCATTGGGAGCAATCTAATCAGCAGTAGCGATAAACTCTAAACAACAACAACAACAACAACAACAACAACAACAACAACAACAACAACAACAACAACAACAACAATAACAAAAACAACAACAACAGCAACAACAACAACAACAACAACAACAAAAGCAACAACAACAACAACAACAACAACAACAACAACAACAACAACAACAACAACAACCTACTCAGGTGTGGATTTTTTGGGGGGGGGGGGGGGGTTGGCGGCAGACGCTTTCCCCAGGGATTCGACCCACTGCCGACCCAAATAGTCCCCCTGTTGTTTTATTTTGAGATATCAATTTTTGGATGATCGATTCTAAACTTTTTCTAAAGGCGCCTTTGGCGCTAATATACACTAAGTTTGAGCGGGGAGCGCATGCCAAAAAACGCAATTCTTAGGTCGAAGATTTCCAAAAAAACATAAGAACGCTTATAAGGCATGTTTTTTCGAAAGTTTGTCTGCTGTGCTGAAATTTTGGCCAAAATAAAGTCTTTTTTGTGCCTAGGGAAAGCTCGGAAAATCAATTTGATTGACCTAAAAAAAGTCGGCAACATTTTTTGAAATTTTTTGGAAAATCTGCCGCTCCCCAAACGAAAAAAAATTAGATCCGCCCCTGAAGCTATTGTTAAGCTTTTTGAAAATTCCTACTTACTGTATGAACCCAGAAAACTAGAGTAGAAGCTCTAAAAACATTTGTTTTTACAGAAAACTGTTTAGGTCTAACATTTCTTGCATTTGCTTTTATAAATGCGCTTTTTAGAAAGAAAGAGTTGCTGCACTACTAGTGAATTAAACTCTGTATTATCTATCAAAAAAGCTTTCAGCAATTGAAGTACAATTGAGGGTGCAAATAAATATGACTTCCGCCAGTTAACACAACCCAGAACTCTTTTTGATCGTACAAGTGTGTGATGTCCACCAAGTGTTTCTGAAGCTCTGTATCTTTGGTCGAGACTTGAATTGAAACCAAATCTTCGCTGAAACTACTCTTTCGGTACTTGAAAGTCTTCTTCTCCTCTGCTGGTCGCACGTGAAGCATTAATGGAGGATTTGAGGCGTCTTTAAATGGGTCGTAAATGCCTGAGATATCTGATCTGACCATCAATTTTACACTTTTGATTTTGTGCAGTGAGTCGGAAACGTTGTTTGGGATTTCGAGAATCCACGCTATGTTTGTTTGGTGTTTGTTTGTTTTGAAGTTCCCTATTGGGAAATAAGATCTCCCGTTTTTATCAATGAGGCATCCGGGCTTCCAGAATCCGTCGTATACAATGTCAACGTCCAGAGCAAACTTAATGCTCGTCTTCTTTCTCTTCATTTTAATGTAATTTGTGTTGAGTAGCATATACTAATCGCATAGTGAAGTAGAAACAACAAAACTGACACGCAAGCAAATAAATTGTTGGTTAGAACAGGTGTACTTTAATAAAGACTGTTTGGTAAAGCACAGCATAATAAATTATATTTTTCACTGCTTCATTGAAGCGACTTTTAAATCAAGGTACTTGATCCGAACAAGAGTTATGTAACGTCACAATCTTTTCTGTTATAGTTAAGAGTTGTTGCTACAAAAAATCTTACACGGAACGTTTATCTAACAAGGTAATACGACACTCTAATAAGATATAATGGGAAAAGCATTGGTTATTGAATATTCAGCAAATGCTTGTCAGGCAAAATCTCACAAGATTTTAAAAGAATATATAGAATCTAGTAAGATAGACAATACAAAGAAAGTCTTATCAAAGTTCAAGAAAAAATTAGAAAATTTAGAAAATAATTTAGAAAATTTGCTAGGTCTGTTTACTTTTTGTTGAGGTAATTATTGTCCATAACTACTTTGGATAATTTTTGTATCGGATAACAGTGATACTTTTCGCGGTAAATACACGACTTCACTGGGGGTTGAGAAATTAGACGACAATCAAATTAGATGGAGGCACTTTGCCAAACTGCAATTGTGAGAAAATTGACAAAAATGTGAGAGATTAAATATGTTTGCAGAAGAATTGCATAAGAAAAATAAAATTGTTTGCTGGCAACAGTTAAATTTCGGTGGCAAAAAAGCAAAATTTCAACAATGTGGGTTATAGATTTAAAAAAGATAACAAAACCAAAATAGCTTGTCATTGTCGCTGTGTTATCTCCAATGACTTCGGAAGATTAATGAGAAATTTAGAAAGTACAAAAATTATTCGAAAATTAGGCAACCACAGTCACGAACCCGATCTTATGTACAACGAAGAAGAAAATTTTCGCCAAAAAATTCTGAACGAAATCCAAAATGATCCGGCAAAACCGGTGAAAATGATTCACGACGAGCAAGTTAAATTGAATTCAGAAATTGAAAATCCACCGTAGTATCACAAAAATAGCAGCGGGTTACTAAAAAAGTGAAATCAAAACGAGCGATAATCAAGGTGAATTAGTGACTTTTTTGTTCACTAAAAAACCTACATTTTTTGCAAAAAGCCAAAAATTGTGTGCGACGGACCTTTCAAAACCGCTCCAAAATTGTTTCGTCAAATATATACAATATTCAGTGTAATGCAAGATCGCAAAATTCCGTCACTTTGGGCCCTGATGTCCGAAAAAACAAAGAAAGCTTACCAAAACTTGTTAGAAAAAATTGACGAAAAATGTCATTTTTTTTTGTCGAAAAAGTTTGAACCAAGTTTTATTATAATCGATTACGAGACGGGTTCTATCGCCGCTGTCAAAAGTTTGATGCCACAAGTCGATCTTTTATGCTGTTTTTTTCCTAATACTGAAGCAGTTTTCCGAAAAATTCAAACTTTTGGTCTTATTGTTGCCTACAGGAAAAATCGTTCAATTCAGTTACTTTGTCGCAAAATTTTCATCCTAAGATTTTTGCCAATCGAACATGTGATAACAAATTTTGGCAATTTAAAACAAGCTGGTTTGTGCCGAAGACTGAAATATTTTTCCCAAAAATTGAAGACTTGATCAATTATGTCGAAAAAAACTTGGATTCAAAAAATTGGAGTTTTTATGTGGAGCGTTTATGATAGACCACAAAATCTCCAAAAAACAAACGCCTGCTATTCCTGGCATGCTTCCTGGAACAGAAAAAAAGGAAGAACCACCCATTTTTATGGGTAGTTGTGGAAAAATTGAAAAAACAGGAAAAATAACAAAAAAAGTAAACTCAACAATTTTGAAAGGTGAACCTACACCTCCACAGAAAAAAATGGCGTTTTTCAATGCCAAAATCCAGCAATTTAAAAACAATTATGAGGAGAATGTTATCAGTTTGGGCATTTATTGAATTAATTTGGCGTTATTTGCCGAAATTTGCAAAAAACTGAACGTAAAATTTACGTGTCATTTATAATGCATAAATTATTCAATTTAAACCTCTCCTGCAAAATTTGGATTTGACGTTTTATATTAATTCAACTAAACTGTTTTGATAGGTATTGTCATTTTATGTTCTTTTTGTATTCAAATTCATTATATATCGGCGGCAAAGGCTCCTTTAGAAAAATATTAGGGTCAGTCAGCCAAAAATGGATATCTCAAAATAGTACATGGGGGACTCTTTGGTTCGGCAGGGGGTCGAATCCCTGAGTGGTGGCGGTGGGGGGGGGGGTTGGGAGGAGCGTCCAAATCTTTACCCCCGCTACTCCCGCAACCCCCCCCCCCCCCCCCAAATCTGCCCCTGTAACAAAGTAAGGATAAAGCATATTATTATCATCGTTTTTCTAACTATACTCAATTTGAGAATAACGCGGGTCAAAATTTAAATTTCAATTAACATCATATAAATCAGCACTGTACTACCTAGTTCTATAACTGCTGCCAAAAATGATTCAAACACAAGCTGATGACTTCTTGTCAATTGCCTTTCAGCGTTCTATCAAGTAGTTATAGCTTGGCGGATTTTTGGATGCCATTTGTATTCAGTTGATCACCTTCATCTTGTTTGTCGTCGTCAACGTCCTTGGCAACCCATACACCTCTAGTATCATCGATGGGTACATTGTATTTCGGCGGAGCACTATGTTCTATCATGGGCGATAAAATACAGTTTGTGACTTCTATTAAAAATCCTAAGTTTTGCCTTGATGCTTGTGAAAGTATTCGAATCATTAATAACAAATAAAAGATTATGCCACAGGGAGAATTAAACGTTTTTTGTTAAATTTTTTGTTATCGTAAAATTGATCTTATACCTTTCAGGTTGAACAATCTTTCCATTTTTAGAACAATCATTTCCATTTTCCATTTTTAGTCCAAATCTTTACCCCCGCTACTCCCGCAACCCACCCCCCCCCCAAATCTGCCCCTGTAACAAAGTAAGGATAAAGCATATTATTATCATCGTTTTTCTAACTATACTCAATTTGAGAATAACGCGGGTCAAAATTTAAATTTCAATTAACATCATATAAATCAGCTCTGTACTACCTAGTTCTATAACTGCTGCCAAAAATGATTCAAACACAAGCTGTTGACATCTTGTCAATTGCCTTTCAGCGTTCTATCAAGTAGTTATAGCTTGGCGGATTTTTGGATGCCATTTGTATTCAGTTGATCACCTTCATCTTGTTCGTCGTCGTCAACGTCCTTGGCAACCCATACACCTCTAGTATCATCGATGGGTACATTGTATTTCGGCGGAGCACTATGTTCTATCATGGGCGATAAAATACAGTTTGTGACTCCTATTAAAAATCCTAAGTTTTGCCTTGATGCTTGTGAAAGTATTCGAATCATTAATAACAAATAAAAGATTTTGCCACAGGGAGAATTTAACGTTTTTTGTTAAATTTTTTGTTATCGTAAAATTGATCTTATACCTTTCAGGTTGAACAATCTTTCCATTTTTAGAACAATCATTTCCATTTTCCATAAAAATTGCTGACACGTTAAGCGGAAAAACCATTCTATTAATAAGTAACGACTTGATTGCTTTTAATACACGGCTGTTTTCCATTTAAATACCATTTTGTAGTCTCTACATTCACTGCTTTTTTGTTTATTTTTCTGGGACGGGATGGAAATGGAGATGAACAGCAGTATGTTCTATTCTATGGCCCTATGATGTGCTGCTCCACTTCGTCTTCGATGAGGTCTTCTGGGTAGACACTCTCAGTCCACTTGCACACCAGGTGGGCCCTGTTCCTCGGATTCACAACCATCATGGCCAGTCTGCTGCTCCCCTCCCAGCCGAACAAAACCTAAGCATTGCAAACTCTGTAGAAGGACCTACGAACACTTGAAGATCTATGACCAATTATTTTGGTAAAGCGTCAATACTGCATATCAAAGATGGCATTTTTTAAGTTTGAAGTTCTACAGCCTCTATTCTCCTTGTCATAAGAAATGAGACAGTAGCGGATTAAAATTGGAAAAGTTCATCCTGCTTACAAAAGGGGACAACAGACAGAGTTAAGTTACTTCAGACCAATAACTTAAATTCCAACTCTCGCAAAAAGTTTTGGAAAAATTCCGTATAAATTAATAATTGGCTTTTTTAGAAGCATACCATCCGAGCTGACGAACAATGTGGCTTTTGCAGTAAGCGAGACGCAGTTGAAGCAAAGACTGAAAAAACTGCATGTATTAGGCATTTCTTAAGCAACCAAATACACTGAATTGTACAATTCTTGATCTTGCAAACAGACATTTTTGACACCGTTTGGAATTCTGGTTGAAAAAAACCATGGAATTTGACCATGGAGTTCTGGTTAATGGAATATAAAGCTTATGGAGTAAGGGGAAAAGCGGAAAAACTGATATCAATTTATCGTAAGGATCCATCCAACTATGTAGTAGAAAACATGGTATCGAGTTCAAACCTATCGTCTTGGAGTTCCACGAGGGTCATTTTGGGGCCCCTTCTGATTCTAATTGATTTAAACGATCTGCCGAAAGTTTGTGTGAACTCAAAAGTAACGCTTTAATCCCATGATTAAAAGCTAGGTTTTACAAACAAAATTGGAAAAAGACGGAAAAACAAACGACTTAGAAAGTGTTAAGAATTGGATAAAGTCTTAACCTGGATAAATAAAAAAAATTAAATTTGGACCAAAATTGACTAAAATGATTAATCTAGTTGAAGAAAAGTCCTCAAAAAGTCTTGGCCTTTATCTGAATGATAAAATGAGTTTCAAGTTGCATATGCAAAAAAATTTAAAAAAAAATCGAAATGCGTCCATAAGCAGCAACGAAAAAACTCAAAAAATAGGGTTCGATTTTTCTTAATCAATTTTAAGCATTAGAAAAAAGTTAATCAAAGACTTATTAAATCGTTAAAACGTTCAACTAAAATCAATTATGGGTAGCATACGGGATCTATACATTTGTGACAACGCATTTTTGATGAAAATTTTTTGATAGTCGGAAATTCAACTGTTTTTTTTTGTTGTTTGCTCATGAAGACACCACTAGGCAGCAAACTGGATTTTTTGCGGTTTTTCCAAGATGAACTGGATTTTTTTGTTATGAGCTCTGTAAAAAGTATTCGGGTCTGTTTCCTTCTTGAAAACCAATTTATTATTAATAATATTAATAAGGGAGGGGGGATGTTTTCCTTCTCTCCTCGGGGAATCGACACAGTGATCACCCAAAGAAACTATATCACATTAAAGTTGATAACATTGATCATAGACCAAACTGATTATCCAAGCTTCCCAATACACAACAAAATTTCTTTTTTTTGCTACAGATTTCTGCATCGTAGGTAGCCGTGGATCTAGAAATTTTTCTAGGGGCGGGAAATCAATATTAAATACCAAATTCTGCAGAAAAATTAAGCAAATTTATACATTATTGAATCTATGAGGATTTATGCCAAAGCAAACTCTTCCTTTATATTATGTCGCAGGCAGTTTTTCAGCGGTTTCATGCTGGCAACCTAGAAGGATCGTTCGGCAGTAAAATTTGTTGTTGAAAAGGAATCTCTAAGCTGTAGCAGCCAGTGCACGAATAGCATCGTCGTCTTGTCACTGACTTGACTATTCGTAACAATTCGGTATATCACTATAGGAGGGATAGATAAAGAGGCGCCAATTTGTGTATACTAGTTTTGAGGGCGGTTTGATTTTTTCTAATCAAAACCTAAAATCTTTTTAGTCGACCCAAAATAGTGTAGAATTTTGCGCCTAAACGTGCCTAAAACCAGGTTTTAAAACGTCATTTGTTCAGTTTCACTAAGTTCATGTAGGACTTTCGGTTTTCACAGATCATCTTAGACTTTCTGTTCCTTTTTTTTAAATTTGTTTAACACTCGCAGCTGACAATTTTCATATTTGTTTTTCACCTGCGAAACAACTTCTCTCAGCGTTTTGCGCTCAGTGGTGTGAGAAATGTACACAGTTTGCACCGTCCCCATACCAGGAATGGTGTCAGATCCCAGTCCCAGTCGGAAGGTTCCAGAACATTCTGGAAGCAAGAGTAGAGCCTCTTTCACGCTGTGCCAGTGACTTTCATTGCCAGAGGCTCCAATTGATTGCCTGCAATTTGCAAAATGAAAAAACAACAGGCCATTTTTGAGTAAGTTTGTATGACAGAAACTAGTTTGACCAGAAAAAACAGTTTGACAAAGTTTAAAGAAATTTGACCGCATCGTGGCCCCAGCTACTTTTTACAAAACCAGAATCGGTCAAAAAATTCTGCAGGCTGTGAATGGACATTTAGTGACAGCGCATTAATTCGAAATCAGCCATATTTTTTGTATCTGTAAGGATGCCGACAAAAAAACTAAAAACTTTGGAAATTTTTTTTAGGAAAAGTTTGCTTCATCTCCATTTTTTAAAAGAAGAACACAACTTTACTTGCCAAAAACATTATCATTCAAGCAAAATTATAAAACTGTGATATGTGCCAGCAGAAGCGAACCACTTACCACGTCACACATCCTAGCAATAGTTAAACACTAGGAGAGCACCAAAAGCTGGAGTGCCTGTTAGATAAAATATATATATTTTAAAATATACTGATACGATACGTAATACGTAATTTTCAAAAAAGTACCAAAATCTCGAAAAATGGACATTTACTAAGTACATACTATTCCTATCAATAGTACAAAAAACGCTCTTTTGCAGGGGAGATGACAGAGAAACACTTTTATTGGTACATTCAGAATCCAAAACAAAATTGGCTGGTGGCATTCATTGCCTGCAAACAAATGTACAGTAGTGCACGTCATAATAGCATATATATTATAATGTATGAATATGTAATACAACAGAAATAATTTTTTTATTTATCCTAAAATCCTTCCAGCTTTTCCCAAGTTTGTGTAAAAATGAGTCGTTAGAAATAACTTGAGATAAAACTCATTAGTGAGTTTTTTAAAACGTCCCAGAGATAATACGGGGTTCTTAACTTTTTTTCTTAAGGTTGATCCACCAAACAACGGTTTTATAAAAAAAATGCGTTTTCGGTTATTTGAGATTTCGGTATTTGTTTGATGAAAAGTAAAGCTGAGATTATATCAGTTTTTTTTCGGCAAAGTTTCCGGCAAAATTCTTCAAAAAATGAAGCTGATAATGCTGAGTTAAAATTGTAACTCACTGTTTTTTCAATTAACCTTTTTATCTCAGATTTGACAGGGCAGTTTTAGAAGAAAAAAAGTAGAAAAAATTTCCGAAAAATGAACAAAATTTCAAAAACTGCACTTAGTGTAAGGCACTAAGTTTTTTCATCTAACATAAGTGAAACACAAATTGTGCAGCGAAGACTTTAAAAGTTTAACACTTGGACATTTTTATCAAATAGAAAATAGCCACTAAAAAACCAGATACAAAATTATAATGCTATTGAGAAAACCAGAAATTAAAATTTCAAGATGCCAACAAATAATGTGCACTTTTATTTGCGACTCAGATTGGAAAAAGTGGATACCGTGATATGACACTACGCTCTGCGTATTTTCCGACTCAGAAAACAATAACTCTGGGTCGGAAAATTGTTTTCTGAGATCCTCGACCACTAGAAGAGAATTTGTAATAATTATACCAGAAAGTAACTGAAAAATGGAAAACTCCACCCTTTTTACTGGCTCATAAACGCAGACAAAAAACACGAGTTCAGATCTCAAGAAAAATTGTTTTAAATAGAATAATTTATACAATACAAAATTCAGAGTTCAAACCGTGATTTTGGCAGTCTCAATTGTACTAACCTCTTGAAATTGAACTCTAAATGGAGCAATTTCTTCTCGTGTTTCTGTGGCTCAGTCTCGGCCTCAGTTTCCTCAGCTGCAACTGCTTCTGCTTGCATTATTAGCTTATCTCGAATTGTTTTTAAAATAAGGTATGAGTGAATGTTTTTAATTAAAATACCTTCATTAACCTTTATGAATCCCATCTTGTATCACCAATAGGAAATGATCTTTTTTTCATATAATATCGAATCAGGTGTGTCATTTAATTGTTAAGAAAACCCAATGGTATCATCAAGAAAATTGTTGTATTCTAAATGAAGTGAAAGTGATTGCAATCTTTTTCATAAGAAATATAATTTTAGGCTGCTCATTGAAAAGATATATGCAATTTAAAGTTTTTTTTTGCTTAACATCAAAATTGCAAAACTCTTTCACATAAAAACTTTTTTGTTTTTTGAACTTCGAATTTTTTCTCGTCAAAAAATTATTTTGAACTAATTTTGAAATATTTGAGAATTTGAATAATTTAGCGACTGAGAACCAATAACTGTAGCGTTTGACTGAATTCCGGTCATCTTAATTCTCAATTTACTGATTTTCAGGCTCCACGACTTTTCCTTCCAGCTAAAATTTTAAAAACGCAGCTAAAATGTTTTATCCTGTTTTTTTTTGAAGATCACCTTAAGTTAGACCAGCAGAGTCGTTTTCAGGTGATTTTTTCAAACAGGTCGAGAAGTATTATTTTCAAAGCCGCGCGTGCTAGAGTCGTAAGGTGATGGATCAGGAGTTTGACCAATCGCCATCCAAATGGAATCCCCTTTGGTACTATTTTGCGACATTCTTTTTAGCCCACTAAAAAAAAGTTTCCATTCTGCACATTTGGTTTAAGTAAATACACAAAGGCGAAGCGGAGCTTCGCATCACTTGCGATACAACGCAAGCGCAGCATTGCAAGCTAGCGAATAGAAAATAACCTCAGAAAAACAGTCGAAAAAACAACAACTAATTTGAAACAAGATTTTAGTGCTTACCAAACGGCCAATAAGCCGACAAGTGGGTACACACCCACTGAGCCAGAATAAAAAATGCCGAAAAATTGTTGTCATAGAAAATTTTGAGCAATTAACATTAATATTGAGCAATTAAATTTGAAAATTTTTAATACTAATTACCTAAATTTTAAAAAACAACTTGATAAGTTCCTCCCTTTGAAGCGACACCAAAAAAGATAACTAAGTCTGTTAAACATACGAAAAAGCCAAGAAACATACACCACGGTAGGGCAATTAATTTTATAAGTTTCAGGAATAGGTCAAATGTTGATGCAAAATGCTGAATGTCACAATGCAAAATGCTGACAGCACAGAAAATTCCCGGTGGCAGTAAGCAGACAAACAAAAGTCTGCCAAACCATTTTTTCCCGGATTTTTTATTCGATTTCATACTTTCTGAAAAAAGCAAGGTCCTGTTGGGACTCAAACCCCGGACCTTGGAGTACAAAGGCGACCGCCTTATCTCGAGGCTCAGTGGGGAGTCTCTCAGTTGCTTAAATTCACTAATAAAGCAACTTCATTTTCTAACAGATTTATGGAAAAATTTGTTGAAGGTTACAAAATTACAGTTCTGATTACAGAATAGTTGCTTTCGCAAGTGTAACTGATTTTTAAAGGAGCAAGCAAACAAACACAAAGTATTCGTCAAAGCCATACAAAAATGCGGCATATTGTTCTGCATAATTTTTGGCGCAGAAATGTCTCCGTGGCTTATAAACAAGTACTTCAATACCCAATTGGTTAACATAGAAAACAGGTCCAATAAAGTTGTAAATGACTGTTGAAAAATCAAATCCACTTCCTGTACAATATAAAATTTCAAATTTTATCGAAGCCTTTGCACTTATTGATTGCTGAATTAAAAACTATACAGAATGGAGAATGCTAAATAAAGATGCATAATATAAAAAAGGATATCTAGTTCTTGTGCAAGCAGAACAAAAAATTCCGATCAAAAATCATTTCAGAAAAAAATTCAAAAACAAAAAAGGTTTTAGGCAAAATTTTTTTGTCTTGATTTCCTGACTTTCAACTTTCTAGAAAATGTGATTGAATAATGTGATTGGATGAGAAATATTCAGAGCGCTAGCTGCAGGTTAAAAATTTTGAAAAATTTAGACTGCACAATTCGGACTGTCTAATTTAGTCAGTAAATTGAAATTATTTAGACCAGTTTTCTCGGTGCTGAGACCTTTTTTGAGTTTTTCAAGCATCAGCATCACGGTCATTTGGGCTTCAAAATTATTCCACGGTTGATTTACTAAAAGTGTGCATTGACGTAGTCAGTTTTGCAAGATTTCTGCAGCTAAAAATCGAAAATTTTATCATTACTAAATAAAGCTTAATTAAAAGCTTTTGGCGTTACTTAAAACACAAAACTTTTCGCAGTACAATAGAATTATCTAAAAAAGAGCTTTTTGCGTTACTTGCTCCAAATAAGACTGAATATCAAAACTTTCATACCAACCTTTCTCAGCACTGAGAAAACTGTTCAAAATTTGTTAAGGTCATTTTAATATGTTTATTCATTCGACTCATTCTGATTATTATTTCTGGTATCTGATTTTGCGGAACAAAAAAGTTTAAGAAACCAAAACACCCGAAGAGAAAATTTCTCCTTATTTTAGTGGTAGGAATAACCCTCACTGATTCAATAGACGCGACCAAAATTAATCATTTGCAGCAAGTAACTTTTGACTAATCAAACTCAATTTTCAAACGCGTTTTGCAGTTATTTCCAAGAACGCGACAAAAAGCAGCTTTATGAAGTGAAAAATTAAAAAATAAAAAAGCATCGAACTAGTAAAACTTTGCAGCGAATCGGATTGAAACTGCGACCTCGAGATTTGGAGTCTCATGCGTCCTGCTAGCTCGGCCAAACACACTTTACAACACACAAACACTAGTCACAAATAAAGCAGCTAAATATGCTTATAAATTGCCAATTTGATGCAGCAAAATTGGCTACAAATACACACAATTTTGCATTATGTATAAATTCAGCATTTCAAAAACATTGCGAGGTTTATTGAGTTCAAAAATGTCTTTAATCAAGTTTTCATTATTGTACTGATATTTGAAGCAAATAGCTTTTTTCGGTTCATTTGAAGAATGAGAAATGCATCAACTGGATTTATTAATAACTTACTGAATTTCACAGCACATGCTATCAAAAAGCTGTAAAGGTGCTCCAAAAGTTACTTCAATATGTGATTTAGGTTAGAAAAAAAGAATATTCGTACTATAACACAAACTCATTTAAGTTCTCAAGTGTAAAAACCTATGTTATGCCCTAAGATCTGCCATAACCCAAAAAAAATAAAAGAAGACTTGGCGTTTCTCGGCTTTTTTGGTTGTTTTTCTTTAATCCAATTTCAGAGATTGAAGTAATAAATTCTAACTTCCGACTCCCTGTTAAAAAATCGACGCTCTGATTTCTACTTGATGTTTAATTTCAAGTTTAATTTTTTTTCAACAAAATCAATTTTTTATGCTCTTTGTATCAATTTATCTGTACTGCAAGAATGATTTGTGATCATGCGAAAAACCACGCTTAAGATAGGAGATGTTTACTCGAAGCAGTGCAAAGCCCTGAAGGTTCAGTTCTGACACGCCTATATTGTTTTTGACAAGTTTAAAATGAAAAAAAAAGGATTTCTGTTCAGTTTCAATACGAATTTTTCACCCCAATATGCAATGTCACAAAAAAAATGGATCAATTAGCACGCCTTATATCAATGAATAGATTTTGAGCCGGATTAAGGGACTGCGCAAGCTACGAGTTAATAGAAACCTGGCAATTGACGGACGCTTTGCATTTTTATAAAATTGTTAATTTCGCAAACATTAAATATCTTTTAAACGCCATTTATATGACAAAAATGTTCGCAGATGGATTTTTCTTATTTTTGCGACCAGACATCTCTATTTTTCAGACTGAATCAAAATCAGTCACTCACAAGTTGCCAGTGAAAAAGAAAACACACCGAGAGAAGTTTTCAAGTGATCCTACTAATTACCTACAAGAGGCAAATTCCGTCAATTGGTAGTTGACATTGGTTAGGGAAGCGGCAAAAAATTTTTAAAAAAATTTAAAAAGCATATCAATTTTAATTTCTTTCTACAAAATTTGAGACAACAAAGGTCGCTCAGAGTATTCAGAGCTTCGCTACGGCTTAACACATGAGTCAGGAATCCAGCTTGAACTGAGATTGTCAAGTCAATTTGGTTCATTGCTCAAGACCTTGAAAACTTCGTATAAATTAAAAATTCCAAAACAAGAACCCAAAAACAATGAAGGAAAAAAATGTGTTTCGTAACTGAGTTTTACTTCATCATGACGGCTGCTGATTTTAAAAAAAAGTTTATTCAACATTTCAAAAGAAATTTTTTTTTAGCCAATCAGCTTAATAACAAATTATACCTCAATAATCAAATAAAATATCGCGTCAAATAAATATTTTCATATCCAGTTCAATGAAAATACTTTCAATCAAAGGCAATGTTTTAGAGTCTCCAGAAAAATTTCGCATTCCTTTTGATCAAATATCAGAGCGGTCCTCATTCTGACAGATGACACGCCACATCCACCAAACAGAACACCTTTATGGAACATTCGGCTAATCGGATCTTTCCTCATCTTTTCGGTCGGAATGTCAAATTCAATGAAAGTTCCCATGCCACCCACGCGTGAGATCATATGAGGCCTCGAACTTTCTAAGCTTTTTCAAGCCCTCCATCAAGATCTTCCCGCTTTTCTTCACAACCTTGAGAAAGCAGTCCTGTTTGATTACTTCTAATGTCGTTTTCAAAAGCGCCAATCGGAGCGGATCACCGACCCATGTGTTGACAATTCTATAACCCTGCTGGGCTTCTTCGCATTCTGGCTGGCAGTAGAAACCAGCAATGTGCATCTTTTCACTGAATATCACCATATCCGCGGGAGAGGGAAGATCCCAGGACTCGTGTGCCCAGAATTGTCCGTTGGGTCCGAAGGCAGTCTGCACCTCTTCTACAATCAAGGCGACATTGTGCTCCTTGCATATCTTTTGCAGCCTACGAAAGAACTGGGGTGAGGCCTGGTTGTCGCCACCTTCCGCCTGAATGGGTTCCACAATCACAGCTGCACAAAAGATTAAGATTGTTATCAAAACGTGCACTCCGCGTTATCAGGCAAGAAACATCAAGATATAAGAAAACCATTTTATTCTTTAACTTTTGACACAGACTTTTAGTCAGAATTCAGAAACTTTCTCTAGAAAATTTTTTTTGTGAAATGTTTGAACATTTTTTTTTGTCACAATTAACTTTGAGCTATGAAAAATTTCAAAACTCAGAATCGACTTAATTTTCGAAAGAAACGGGAATGTACAATGCATATTTATTCAAAAAAGTTCTGTTAGCGAAATGACTCATTTACGTGATTTAATTACACTCGTGTTAAACTGAAAACGTTAATTTTAAAGCGCTTCCTAATTGCAAGCGTAAATATTAAACAAGTCTGCTCGTATCAGGGCGAAGCCTTTTATTCTGAAATTAGTCTGAATATTTTTTTAGTCTGAATATTCTGACTGCCTTTTAAGGTCTATGGAGCAGTAATGACATGAAAAAATTAAATGTAATTGAATAAAATGGAATATATATTTTTTAAATTTGAGATTATTTATGAAAATCATCCCACACACGCCATATAAAGTACAAAGTGACAGATTTCGCTCCTAGTAACAAATCATTTATGACAAATAAGCTTCCTTCAACCAATTTGAAACAATTTCTAACGCGGAATAAATCTCCGCTCACGCGTTTATAGCGCGACATATATCGCGCATTAGTTGTCCCAAATTGATCAAAATGGCAACCGTTAAACCCCCATAACTTTTTAAAAAAGGATAACGGTGATATATTTTTTCAAATTTGCACTCAGGACAACAATACCTTTGGACCGTCATAAATGGCTAGTTAAAAAGTCGAAATTTGTCCGAAGAAAAAAGCAACGCGAGCACAAATGTTCCGTTACTTTCGTTACGAAAGTCACATGTACTGTGCAGCAAGCTTGTATAGTCAGACCAAAACCAAATAAACTGACAACATTTGGCTTCGCTAGCAATTACTGATATTCAAAGCATACAAAAATGAGGAAAAAATTTTGAGTTCTCAGCACACAAAAATGACAAAAACTTCTCTGCATGCAAAGAAAAAACTCAGCATACAAAAAAACGGAAAACTTTCCAGCATACAAAAATAAGATAATCGGGTGTAACTAGCTCACGATTCGCACCTACGGTGCTTCAAATAGATCGTTGAACAATAAAAAAGAGCTTCCTAAAACGTACTAAAACAGAGATATTTAATGCAACTGTGAAGATAAACTGGGCTCATCTATCAGGGGTTTCTATTTCATGAAAAACACCAAATCTCGAAAACCAAAATGATTTGAACAGGTAAGCTAAGCTGGCATATTTACCACACTATACTGTTCCCTGACAGCGTCCCACCAAAGGGCTAGAATTTTAATTTCTTTTAGTTATTTTTAAATTTAAGTTTTTTAAAAAGATTAAAAAGATCAAAAGAAACGCCATATCTCGGCGATGAAAAAGTTTTGAGCAAAAAAGTAAGAGACAAAATTTGTACTCTGACAGTACTCATTGAATGTACCCTGACAAAACCCTACCAGGCTGAGAATTTCAAAATCAGGTAGTTTTTTTAATTCAAGGAAATAAAAAAAATCGCAATATCTCTAAAACTAAAACAATTTGAGCGGGTCTATTTAAGGGAAGAATTGCAACCCTTGAGTTTACGCTGATAGCACATCACCATAGGCCGGAGGATTTGAAGTTCTGTTACTTTTTTCTTCTCTTATTTTAGAAAAATGAAAAAATCATAAAAAAACGCGACACCAGGGAAAAACAGTCAGTAAATCAGTCTCATTTGGAGGGAAGAAATGCAACCCCTGAGTGCATCCTGACAGCACCCTAAAATAGGGTTGAAAAATTCAAGTTCGGTTTTTTATCGAGTTTTTTTGGAAAAAAAACAAGAAAATCAAAAAAGGCTTATCTCGAAAACCAAAAAGGTTTGGGCAGTCATAAATTGACGACAGATTTGCAACTCCTGAGTGTACACTGATAGTACACAACTAAGGAATTGACATTTTCAAGTTCGGTTAATTTTTTCTATATCTAGAAGTTTTGAAAAAAGTTGCAAAAAAAATAACAAAAACGCCACATCTCGAAAAACAAAAGGAGTTCAGGAGTCATGCTTGGACGCCAGATTTGCAATCCCTGAACGTACCCTAGCAGCACTCCAAAATAGGGTTGCGAATTTAAAGTTCGGTTAGTTTTCTAATTCTAAAAAAATTCCATACCTCAGCATACAAAAATAAGGAAAAAAATTTTGAATTCTCAGCATACAAAAATTAAAAAAAACTTCTCAGCATACAAAAATAAGAAAACTTTTGAGTTTTCGGGTGTAACTAGCGCATGATTCTTTCGTTGAAGCTGCAATAAATATTTCGTTGAAAAAGCTTAAGCATATCAACAGAAAGACTTCTTAAACATCGGCCGAGAGAACCGCCAATTAAATAAGAGATAGATGAGAAAAAAGGAAAGGTGAAAAAGTGAAAAAAAGGAAAGGTGAAAAAGTGAATAAATAAAAATTAATCGGCTGCAGGTTTTCAGGAAAGAATAACAAAAAAATCATAAAAAAACTTTTCTAGATGTTTTTGCAGTATTAAAAATTAATCAAAACGAAGAACACCCGAAGATTAAGTTCCTCTCCACTTTCAGCGTTTGTTGTTGTTGTTAAGTGTGGATCCCGTCAAAGCTTGGGAGGGCTTAAGTGCTCAGTGCGCCGAAGGTATTCCAGCACTTTGTTTGGCTGATCTTGTAGAACTTTTTAGACATGATTCGGTCAAACGACTTCATTTCTGATAATAAGCATGAGGGGTCGGATGAGAAAAATGCTCTGGTATTTCTGGCGCTAATTCGCAGTTCGGGTATATGTCAATTTCTTCTCTTACGAACTTCTGGGCGACTTGGCGGAGGAAAGGAGCTCTGATTACTCTCAGTCGGGACAGTGCTACCTCCTGAGATCTTGATCGGAACACCGCTCTTGTCAGCTTTTTTCCGTTAGTGCACCTTGCCAAGGAAGCCACTCTGCTCGACTTTCTTCAGATAAAGTTCTTCTTGTCTGGCGTCAACCGTCCTCTTCAGCTGCTCGAAACGTAATGCTTGTTGGTGTTTTTGAAATGACGAAGTTGCTTCTGAGATTGGAGACCAGCAATATCGGAGGCTGGATTCGCCTCTGGACTTTAGTCTGGGCCTGAAGCTTCTGGTCGTCGAGATGTCATGAAGGTGGTGCTCTTCTGGCAGACTCGCAACTTTCTTGAAGTGAAGTGCACTTCCGTAACAAACTAGATGGCATGAATTCCGCTTCCGTGCATCAGGAGTGGTAGAACGGACTTCTCTTGGCAGAGAAGCTGTGGCGAAGCAAAAGAGCAGCGGTCGGCCAGCCAGGCCCAGAAACAACGGAGAGACGGCTAAAAAACTAGAACGTGGCTGGAACTCAGACTGCTCTTCTGAAACGATATTGTTCGGCTGATACCACTCTTTTAGTCTGTTGGTGATAATTATCACCATGACCTTGGAGACAACAAGCAGCAGAGACACCGGTATGTAGCTGCTTACTTTGCTTGAACCTTTTTTCTTCAAGATAGGAATCTCCAATCCGAGGGAACGCTGGCTTCCGTCCAAGTTCTGTTATACATTTCCTACAGGCGCGAAAACGCGAGCTCGGGGGCCTCTTCAGTGAGGGCGGGTGGATATTGTCATGGCCGTAGGCCTGGCGTATCAGCTTGTGCAGAGCTTTGTCCGGTTCGTAAGCACTGAACAGATGATTGAGGCTGTCTGCAGGATCTTGTTGACTGTCTGATAGGCGGCGAGATAAGGATGGGCCACTTGTGTTACGAATGGGCTTGTTTGGGGGGGGGGGGGTTGCTGCTACCATCCATTGCGCGGAGGGGGTTCATTGCGCGGAGGGAGTCTAAAGTGCTCATGTACTCTCTCCAGATTCTGGTCTCCTCATTATGAATGGTTTGATCCAAGATGGTGTACTCGAGCATGTACGCTTCTGTTTTACCACTATTCCCACGATCTTCAAGTGCCGCCGAGAGAGCTTCGTTGCAGCGCTTCTTGGCTGTCGTGCACTCAGATGTTCACCGCGTCTTGCAGCTCTTACTAGTACTGGTGGGAGTGCTCTACTTCGCAGCTTCAAGAATGAGCTTGACGAAAAAAATGGAGACCTTTTCGAGAGACTGTTCGGGCCAGTCTCCGCTGAACAGTTCGCATGTCCTTTTGAGGACACCCTCTTCCATCTTCATGAAGTTCAGTCTCTTTACCGACAGACCTTCTAGCTTCTGGTCTGTGCTGATAAGGACCGCGAGGTGATCCGAGCCGATTGAATCCAGATTTGTGCACTTCAAGTCTCTGCGTATTGTTACAGCCAACTATAGAAACACTTAGGAATGATGGCGCTCCATGTGAAGAGTGTCTAGTCGGGGAACACTCGTTGATGATTTCTATTCTGTTGTCCAGTATCCACTAGCCATTCGTTGAGAGTGACGCCCAGAGTGTGAACTGGTTCCAGATGTCATGGCAGTTAACGTCACCGCCGAGGATGCTATCTTCTCCAGAAAGCCAGGACTCATCGTGGAGGTCCACGTCTCTGTGATCCAAAGCCGGGGCCTGTATAGGTTCCAGATTTCCACCGACTTCTTACCGGTCTTTACTGTAACACCGACAGATTCTAAGGCAGCTCTGTTGGGGAGAAGCTGTCCGAGGACCCTCAGAACGGTTACGTAGCTCCGAACCAAGATAGGTTGCGCTGAATCTTTCTTCTGTGAAGGCTGTGCAGCCTTTGCAGCTGGTTGTCTTGCTCTTGCTTGTCAGGTTCGTCTCTTGAAGCAAGACTACGGCTGTTTGTCTCTGAGAGGGGCTTGTCAAAGGCAGCTTTCCTTACTCTCCAGCAATTGATGTTCAGCTGCAGTATGCTACATGAAGTGTTGGGGGCCTTGTTTCTGCGAGGTGCGGGAAATGGAGCGGGGGGCGCTGGGATGTTAGTTAAACTTTTTTCGCATCCACAGTGCCATCTCCAGGTAGCCCAGCTGATCAGCTCTCAACCAGTTGGAGAAGTCAGCGCAGTTGTAGTGAGGGCAGCTGTACACGACTCTGGGCCCAGGGCTTGACTCAATATTTACCGCGATGAGAAAAGAACGGCGTCTCATGCTCGCGGAGCTACCAGGACGCCTATCCAAAAACCCGGGCCTTAGCCAAAACCGAAGTGTCCAGTTTGGCCGAGACTTTCAACGGTCAGAAAAGTTACCTGCGATGGGCTTGGTCTTCGTCCACTACTGGAATGTCTTCTTCCACTACTGGAATGTCTATTTCCACTACTGGAATGTCTATTTCCACTACTGGATTGTCTCTCCCACTCTGGCTAATGTCTCTTTCTATATCTGTTCATTCTCTGCCACATGTTACTCCAGCGGGTACTTGAGAGGGAACTGTACACAGCGCCAGTCGAATGTGTTGATTATATCAACCTAATCAACACAAAACTAATACCTGATCACAACTCCTGAGAGAACGAGGGAACTTTTCATTTCTACAAACTATCAGTTGAAGAAAAACAGATGATGTATCCCTGATGTAAAGCAATAGTACTTTCTGTTCAAAGTACCGAGGGAGATTCTTATCAATTTTATTTTCTTTCGAGACACAACTGAGTCATGAACGCTAATTTCGGTAGGTCTATTTTGATTTCGTATCTTTTGAATCCATTAGCGGGAACTGTTTCCTGAACACAAATCAGAACCTCAACAACTGAATTTGAAACTGTAACCTTGTGCAGTGGTTTGGTCCGACAGAGATCCCAGAGTCCTGCCGTGGAAGCCAGAGGTGAAGGGCAGAGCTGACAGGCCAGGAGATCCGCGTCCACCGCATTCTATGGTCCACCGCACTTCCCATAAAGCTCATCTCAAATAGAAAACTTTGCGGGCATTTTCTTACTTGAACGCGCCCCAAAATCTCAAAAAGGCGTCTTGTTTCATTTTCTGACCCGATAATGTCTGCGGCCCGTCAAAATTGGCTAACGTCAACTGTTAACAATGCCGACGAACAGACCAATGATCCTAATTCTAACAAACGACTAAGAACTTCAACACTGAACCTGCGGCGATGGTATTTAGATAAGAGAATCACGACCTATTGATACAATACAACGCTGAATATCATATTTTATTTCTTATATTATTGTATTTGGATGCCTCCTGGCGGCAGCATCAGAGATGTACATGCAATCACTTCAAATCGTCATTACTTGCACAAAATTTACAGTGAAAATAGATACCCTTTGGGGGCGACAGAGAGGAGTGAATCGTGCACAGGGGGAACATACCGAGTGCTGGTCTGTTGATGACCTTGGAGACGGCTCCTTCTGCTTGCATCATCTGCAGCAGTGCTGGGTGATTGTACCTGAGAAAAGGAAGCAGCACAATCCACTCGAATTTGTATAAACACATTCAAGGTTATGGACAAACTAGCGCGTCAATCGCACCTCCGGTGCTACAAAACCAATTCTTCAGAAAACAGACAAACCAAATTTCTTTGTAAATAGAAGACAAAATTCAAGGAAAAAGGCATTCAAAAAACACAATAACAACTTCTGGCAAAAAAAAACAGAAAAAATCAAGAACGGAAAATTATGGCAAAAAAACAATGCTTTCCAAAACAAAATTTTTAGCGTAAGAACTGTAAGCATCACTATGACTTATTTCTTTGTGCTTCACACCCTTTGCTCAAACCATTAATCAAAATTACACAAACTGATATTACGATACAAGATAACAAAAACATGACTTCACGCGACATCTTTGAATTAAGCAACACACTTGATAGTTACATAAACGTTAATCATTATTTTGAATCAGTATCATAATGCTTATTTTTGAACCAAACAAAAAAATAAACAAAATTTGTCTGCGAGAATTACAAAATTTCACGATAAACGATGTTTTTAGTTTTTGGGGAATTATCTCTGGCGTTTTTGATGTAAAACTTTATTCCGCTCGGGTCAGACACGCGCGATGCAGCCACGTATAGCTGCATCCAACGCGCATAGAACATGGTGGCGACTGAGAGGCGGATACATTAGCCATTTCACCACAGCTTCACAAACTTCTTTACCGATTCAATAAAATAACATAATACACTAATGGCATTGAAGATATCTGGGCGAATGCGTCCAGTATCTGGTTGCCATCCACATCTACCAAATAGTTCCCACTGGACTTCTCGTAATCGACGAAGAAGTTCAACAGCACAGTGTTCTGAATAGAGGTCAGTTCCTGCTTCAGCTCCTTCGACTTAGGCCCAGGCACTGTTTCTGGAACTATATGCGGCTTCAGGGCTGTAGCCGCACTACGCCAAAGTTGCAGACCCAATTTGTGGACAGTTCTGCCAGTTGTTAAGCTCTTACGCATTTCAGCTAAGCTTCGAATACCTTAGTAACAAATGAAATTAATTTCAGCTTCAACGTAGATAGGAATGAATAATTTGGTACCCAATGAAGTTATGTTGGCCAATAATTTACAAAATCTTTAAGCTTGTGTTTCGAGGTTCAAAATGATTGAAATGTTCGGCGAAAAGATTTTGATTAGTTTATCTTGCAGATAGTCGGTCAAACAGTCAGAGCATATCCTGAAGTCACTGGAACCAAGGATTAATCACTCACGTAATCCAAAGTTCAAGTGGTTCTAAGACCATTTGTATCGTTTCTAATAAAGTTTACATGAAGGTAAAAGTATCCCGAGCCTTGAGGTACCGGCTTCTCGCGGTGGACTCAACACGAGCGCCTAAAGTCGCAGCAAATGGCACCAGTGCAAACCCGCCAGTTTTTGGGAGCGCAGAAATACTTAAACGATCCTCGCCACCTTAAACGAGTGGGAAGCTCAGAGATGGCGTTTTGAATACAAATGGATCATAGTATAATTTGTCATAAGAGAGGGTACATAATGGGAGACAGTTGGTAACTAAACAGCTTGACGACCGCTCGAAGTTGTACTTCAAATTTTTTCTTTAGAACAAGCATTGACTGGTAGCTCAGGTTTGGCCTGCATATTGAATCAGAATTAATTCTCGTCGCTCAACTACAGAGTGTTTCAGATGAAATCTCGAATTTCTCATGTAAATGAGGTAAGATATTGCAAGTTTCACCCAGCGTAATACATGGACAGAAATTTTTGAATCAATTTTTTCAACAGTGATGCCTAAAAAGTATCTTTTTTAACTTGATAATTTATCAGACGAAAAACTCAAAATGTCAAAAGTTGAATTAATTTTCTAAACTCATCATTGCAAATTTGAAAACCAAAACACACATATGTCTTTTCTAATGTCACGGATTTTAGAATTGCATAAAAATAACAAATATAAGCTACCCAAATTGTGCAGGATTTTTGATGTCTGCCATTACAGCTAACACGTGGTTTGTAAATGTCTGTGAAACAACGTTTTCATCTCAAAAATTTTAAATTCTATTGTACCTCACAATTTCTAGTCGAAACAGCGTGAAAAACACACCTTTTTAAGTTTCTCGTCGCACGATAACCTGAAAAGTTTTTGCATCACCTTAAACAAAATTTGCATCTAAATTTTACACAGGATCAAACTTTCAGAATCTCAGCTTCAAATACTTGATGAGAACCCCGACTTTAGTTAGAGTTTGTTTATCTGCAACACCCAGTAAATTTTTCCTTACTTTTGGTTAAATTGGAAAACATTTTGGCAGTGAAATCATAAATCATACTCAGTGGCGTGCGTAGAAGTTTTTCTAGGGGGGCGGTCATGTAGTCGACCAATTTAATTTTCCGAGCTCTCGAACACCCTATTTTGTCAAAAATGTTTTGCGCCGCAAGTTTTTGAAAAGACAGGCTAAAAAGACAATTTGAGCACTTTGAAAAAATTATTTGACTATAAATTGCGTGTTTTTTGGCGCGCGCTCCCCCTATAATTTAGTTATATAGGCCCCGAAGGCGCCTTTGGAAAACTTTTAATGTTGGCCAGCCAAAATTGATCGTAAATTTATACAAAAGGGGGGCCCAGAGGAAAAACTTGGCAACCAGAATTAGGAGGGGGTTCGAGTTTTGTTGCATTCGAATTTTGTTGCATTTTTGTTCTATAATAATTGAGGGCATTTGTGAGAATTGATACAAGTGAACCGCGCTAATTTCATACAGCAAAACCGCGCTAATTTCAACAGATGCAGCATTCAAAAGAAGGATAACCGGTTCCGGCGCAAGGCGCAGAGAAGGTTCCGAACACAGCAATAAAAACGTTTTTTTTACTGGCTTGTAAATACAGGTTAAAAAGTGCAGGCTTTTTTACAGGCTAATATTACTGGTTTCAGTGAACTAGTTATTGTTTCAGCTCAAATCAAAATCGCAAAAAATGTCTACAATTTTTTTAGATAGTATTTTAATTTTTTTTTTATTTTTGTGAAATTTTCGTGCAGAAAAAAAGTTGAAATGCAACTTCTGAGAATGCTTATTCAAGCTAAAAAAGACATTTTTATTGCTTACGATATAATTCTGACTTTCTGATAAAACTTTCGTTAGTGTTTCTTTTCTTCCGATTTAGTTGATTATGGCAGAATTGTAAATAAAAACTATGAAGCACATCGACTTTGGTTTCAGTGTCTTTCTTCTTTTGTTGTATGCAACACTTTTGACTGAAAATTTCCATTTCTTTGATCAATCCACGGGAATTGGCAAAGTGGACTCGTCAAAAAGTAGCAAGACAAACTTTCAGCAATCAGAATCAAGATGAGACAGGCGAAGCGGAGCAATTTTTTTTGCGAAACCAAAATTTTACCCTAAAATTTGATTACTTTAGCGCTTTTTAGTTAATCAAGAATTACGCTATAACTACCACGTTAACTGATGACAAACTTATATCGAAACTAGCCTCTTAGACAGCCTAACAAAGTTCTAGAAAAATAAAATCTCCAAAACATTTGGTCAAGAAGTTTAGAGTTTATTTCTAAGCAAAGATATTGCGTTTTATGTAGTTAAATTAACCCTTTTCGGCTATCAAACAAAATGTATTTCTTTTATACAGATTTTTGGAGATTTTAATCTTCTACAGCTTTGTTGGGTTGTGTCTGAGGCTTCTTTCGATATAACTTTGTCATCAGTTAACTGGGTGATTTGAGCGTAATTTTTGATAAACGTTTGAAACTTCCTATGTTCGTTCTGTCCGGTTATTTTAAATCAGCACTGTAGTCTGTCTACTTTATGACCTGTCTACTTTGTGCTACGTATCCACTGGATTCATTGATTGTCAAGCACACTTAAACGAGTTTCAAATGAATGATCAAAGCGTTTGAATGATCAAAGCGAATAATGCAACTTTGTCCTGCATTTTTAGAGGTTGCATAAAAAATGGAAAAGCAAAACGTATGAAAAAGATTTTCGCTTAATTGTTCCGATCTTCTTTTTACCACTATAACTGAACTTTTAAAAGAGATATTAATCATGAAATCATTACTCAAACTTTTTAAAATATGCATTATTCAAAAATATATACAAGATAGATTACATCTTACCACTCATGCTTTAAAATTCATAAAGTCAAATATTGCTGCTCTGGTTGTCTTGGCTCGGTCACTTTCGATTGACTTGTCAACTTTAATTTCGCCCACAAATATTTTCTGGAATAAAACACCGTCAAAAAAGTTATGGTGCGCGGATGAAAAAGACGGCAAAATTGTGCCTAAAACTGATGCAACTCTGCCAATCGTTTGAACTCCACGGTTAAAAACAGTAGCTAGATGCACAGCGTTGTAATTCGGTCGTGCGCGAATTTCATTGGTTACCAAGTTAGATTCAGAATCCAAAATGACAAACATAGTAACGAAAAGATCGATTTCTGCCAGATCTAAAATCTTTTCGCATCGATACAAATAATAAAGCACAAGTGAGCAAATAAAAAACTTAGGATTGACTCTGAGAAACGCTCTCTCCATTTCTGACTGGTAAGACTGATCATCAAATAAATTTTCACCTGTTACCGCCCACAGAAGAATTTTAAGTTTCTCTGAAACTAGTGTAGTATCATCACTTTCAGTCAACTTCAATAAGTCAAAATCGAAGGGCGGGAAAGACACTATTACTTTATTACCCTGCTTCACAGAATGCTCTGAATAAACAGCATATTCGTCGATCCAGTTTTTCCCAGGTATTTGCTGCTGATGTTTGCGCAAAATTCCCATGAACCGAGAATTAATCGACTTATAGACCAAAACTGAAGGTTTGAATTGTGAAGTTAAATCTTCGAACGCGTTGCTGTGCTCGACGCAAGAATGCACTAACACTTGCTCTGACATCGGGTTGAAGTTCGGATGCTTCATCATCGCTTTCAACAGTTTATCCGAATATTCGTCTATTTTGTTTTTCTTCGACTCTGAAGGCGTATTCAGTAGAAAAAAACTTTTTAAAGCGTTCTTTATTGCTAATTGTCTTTCATTGTTTGCAGATTTGCCAAACACTTCTTTGCTTAGAATGATTGACATCTCGTCAACTGACATCGCGAGCTTTAACTTCTCGTTAACAACTTTGGCTACTGCTGGGATCAAGAGGTGATGCCTGGGATATCCGGCTCTCTTCCAGTTTGTGATACGTAGATGAAAGCTCCTTAAACTGTCTCGAGACAAGTAGTCGTTTCCTAAAAACAACATTTTCATCTTTTTCAGCTAATTTGATATATCAATTCAGGTAACCGTATTGAAACTAAAAGGCAAGATAGGAGCATGTTCAATCGTCTAAATTATGAAAACTTCAAAGATTTGGCAACAAACTTTTCCTGAAAAATTATTTGATGTTCTGAAGAAAATATGCAGGTTAAATATTTTTTTAAATTTTAGCTCAGAACGTCGATATCATCAAAAAAAAATACATAATGTCCGAAAAATTATTGATTCAATCAACTTAGCACAAAAACTTGAATTAGCAGCGTGAGTTAGGTTCAAAAAATACTGACCGCATAGCACTACAAAGGCACGCTAGCTGATTTGTGTAAAAATGCAGAACTATTGGAAAGATTTTTACAAGGTTAACTTTGGTCGGAAGACTCATCAACTTGCACAGAATACATAAGTTACAGAATACGAAATACGTGTTCTTAAGTTACCCATATTAAATACGGTTCAGTAATGGAAATTAGTTTTCATCAAATTTAAATAACGCAAGATCCGATTTTTAGAACACGATAGTGGTTTTGAATTACATCAACTTCAACAAGCATGCTGTAATCTAGGCACTTACCTAATAAAGTTGCAATGACGGGTAACCACTGCGGATCCAAGTTGTTCAATTTTGCCAGCTCCGTGCTGCTGTACACTTTAGTGGTCATATCATTCAGATCCAAATGAAGCGCCGAAAGATAATATTTGGCCGCGTTGTAAATTACGAAGTCACTATCTTGTGCCATTATGGCGACAACGTTGCTGTTTTGCTTCGCATACACAGCTATTTCCTCGTCACACTCCTCTGACGTTATAACTACTCTGCAATCACATTCTTCTGTTAGCACGTATCGTTGGAACATGCTGATTCCTACAAATTGTATAGGCTTTGGACACACATACATTTATCATAATTTAAACGGATGGATGCTCAATATTGAAGTTTGATCCATTAACAAAACATTTAAAAACGAAACCATTTTTTTTCAAATTCAAATCAGCCTGAAATTTTGATTTCCTTTTATTGGATATCCAACTCTAATTTGATTTAAATTCCCGGCAAGTTCAACCAAACTTATTGTTCCGACTTTCCTAAAGAAAGTGACGGAATATTTGTGCTCGGGTGGGTTTTTTTCTTCGGACAAATTTCGACTTTTTAATTAACTACTTTTGAAGGATTTTGTTTTATATCATTCAAAAGGCATTGTTGTCCTAAGCTTAAATTTTAAAAGATATTTCACCTGTGATTAATTTTCGCAAAGTCATGGTGGTTTAAAGATTGCCATTTTGGGACAATTAACGCGCGATAAATTTTGCGCTATTCATGCGTGAGCTGAGATTTAATCCGTCTTAGAAATCGTTCCAAATTGGAAGAAGGAAGCTTATTTGCCATAACTGATTTGTTACTAGGAGCGTGTGGTGGGATGATTTTTGCAAAAAATCTCAAATTTTAGAAAAAAATTTTCATTTTGTTTAATTACATTTAATTTTTTCATGTTATTACTGCTCCATAAACTTTAAAAGGCAGTCGGAACATTCAGGGCCTCGCCCTGATACGAGCAGTCTTGTTTTTATCTGAAATTTTTTATCAAAATATTTGTCCAATGACTGTACTGGCCTGTTAGTAGTATGAAAGGCTCAACCTCAGCTACAATATCTCCAGCTCTAATTCTATTCATCAGATGTTGGATTCTGTAGTAGTTCTCAACTCGGCGTTTGACCCACTCATCTCGTTTCTGGTTCAGACAAGGCCCGTCGTAAAAGAAAATGGGCTCTGCCCCAGCCTCACGGATCGCTTCGACAAAGCGTTTGATTCGCTTACCATACTCGATATACTGACCTCCACAAATCCAATCTAACCCATTAATTAGATGACGTAGAGTGGACGGGGCATCGACTAAAACTACTGGCTCGGAGTCAGTCGAAGCTTCTTTGAATTCTTTGATCACTTCCTTGATATTCACTTGGTAACACACTTTGCCGCCACAATGATTTTCCATATAGGACTGTAGCCCTTTGATGCCCATTTGATCACTCTGAAGTTCCATTTGTACAAGATGAATGAGCATAGAAATGAAAACAGTTAATATTTTGTCTGATTTCGATTTAAATCTCAAGTTTTTTTTCCGAGAAGGAAACGCTGCTAATCCGTCATGACATCAATCAGTAATCATGAATACTCGCAGTCAGAAAGCAAAGGGAGACAAGGTAATTAATCTCACGGCTACTGACAAAAAAAAACAATTCTATATTGGAAATTAAGCTACTACTTAGATTTCGAACACACTTCAGTATTACATAGAGACCAAAAAAGCAGCTGCTTGGATTACCTGCTAATAAAAAATGGATCACACGGGCAATCCACTTCAGTCTGCATAGCTTTATCTGCCCAATAAAGATATCTTTCAGGAGTACAAAAAAAACTAAAGATTACAAAAATAAGATTTAACTCTGACTGCAAAAATCTGAAGTGTTCCCAGTTGATCGCAGAATCAATTCAAAGGTCAAGCTCGGCTTAGCATTAATTCTGATATTGTAACGAATGACTACGGTAAAAATGTGCTGAAACAGAAAACTTTTTAAGTAAAAACAAAATTTACACTAAGGTGAAGCTGCGCTTCGCAAACGCTAGCCAAAACAGGACAAAAAGCAGCTCTATTAAGTGCAAATAAACAAATAAGCCTCGAATTAGTGAAAATTCGGCTACGACTCGGATTCGATCTGCGACCTAGAAAAATGAGTCTCACGCATCAACTACTCAGCCACGGACGTTTAACACAGAGGCGACGCAGAGATTCGCATTACTTGCGATAAAAGGAACGCGTACCACTGCAAGCTACTAAATGGCCAGTGAGAGGGAAATCACTGAGTGAAAAAAAAATTATTGAAAGTGGAAACAAGAAAAATCAATTACAGAAAAACGAACGAGAAAAACAATCACCACAATTAAGCCAACTTAAAGTATTTTCCGAGTTTCCACTAAGCCAACAACACTTAAGAAAACAAAAATACCAAAAGAAATGGTTGTAATAAAAAATTCAACATATTTTTGGAAAAACGAAAAATTCTAACACAGAAAAACAAACACGAAACGCAACAACTAGCATTGAGCATGTTTTTAGTATTTTCCGAGCATCCACTAAGCCAACAATAAGCAATTAGACGCCACTTGATCCGAAAGCAAAATACCAAGAATTGGTTATCAAAAAAAATTCAACATATTTTTGGAAACACGAAAAACTCAATCTCCGAAAACACAAGAAAGACAATCATCAGTTTAGGGGCAAGTTTTTAGTTTTTCCGAGCGTCTATTCAGCCAACAACACGCGATAAGACGCCAACTGATCCGAAAACAAAAATACCCAGGGAAATGGTTAACAGAAAAAAACTACATTTTTGGAATCACGAAAAACTCTATCTCAGAAAAAACAGACGAGAATCACAACAACTAGCCTAAAGCAAGCTTTCAGTATTTTGCGAGCGTCCACTAAGCGAGTAACACGTGGTAAGACGCCAATTGATCCGAAAACAGAATTCAGAAGAAATGGTTGTCATTAAAAATTCGAAATGAAATACGAAAATTGCAATCTCAGAAAAACAGGAGAAAGACAATTATTATAGTTAGGCAAAATTTTTGTTTTTCCGAGCATCCACTAGGCCAACAGCACGTAATTAGACGCCAACCGATCCGAAAACAAAAATCTCCGAAGAAATTGTTATCATAAAAAAGCCAATATTTTGGTTGGAAATACGAAAAACACAATCTCAAAAACAGACGAGAAACACAACAACTATCTTTGAGCAAAATTTATTAACTTCTGAGCGTTCACTAAGCGACAACACGTGGTTAGACGCCGATTCAACATTTTTTTGGAATTGTGGAACACCAATCTAAGAAAAACAGACGAGAAACATATCCACTAGCCTTTAAGAAGCTTTAAGTTTTTTTCAAGCGTTCACTAAGCTTATAATACGTGGCATGAGGCCAATTAAAACGAAAAAAAAAGTAAGAGCAAATTAACAAAAAAATGAGCGATTCAAAAGTTTAAACTTCTAACGGGTTTACTACCAGTTGAACTGATTTAATTGGAACATGAATGATCATTTTTATCCTTATAGCGATGCAAAACTAGTTCATATAACCAATATATTAAGAGCCAAACCATATAGGCAGAATAAAATAAATAGGCAGAAAAAAAACAAGGAAAAAACCACAAATATACTAATCAGATATAGTAATTCTAAGAAACAACGACACTTAAGACTACAATTAAAACTGATTACAGTCCAAAAAAATGGGCAAGCATCTAAGCCGACAAACTTAAATCAGACGAATCCACTTTTCCCGGAAAAAAGCTTGAGACACTGAAAAAAAAAACAAGATCCGGCCGGGAATCAAACTCCTGGTGTTAGGTTTCAAAGGCAACTGCATTACCTCCAGACCAAGTGCGATAAATTACCATCTGATTTTTGCTTTCATATGAAACAAACGTAAAATGATTCGAGTAATTTTGTCTAACTAGTTGTTCGCCCGAAAAAAATCCATATTCCGATTTGACAACGCTTGCTAATCGCATACGTAATTAACCAAACACTTGCCACTTAGCGGCCACTGAGCCGACAATGAATGTGTAGACACTTATTAAACCGAAAACAAAAAAAGGCATATGAAAAACTGTCATTAAATTTAAAAAAAATTAAAATGTTGCTACAATATCTACATAAAGGTCTAAGCGAATCAAACATAAGTCGCAACCATTTAGGCTAGAAAAAAATGCTTTCAAGCAAAAGACCAAAAAAACAATGAAAATACACAACGTCAGAGCTATTTATTTCAAAAATCACAGGAGTAAATCAAAAACACTTGCATCTACGTTGAGAAGTGATGACAGCACAAAATTGAGAAGTGATGACAGCACAAAATATTTGGCAACTCAAAAAAGCCGAAAAACGAAAATTCTAAAAATAAAAAATCAATCTCATAAAAACTAAAAAACAATAAAGTCCGGCCGGACTCGAACACCAGACCTCTCTAAGTCTCGCAATTGCTAATGTTCACTAATAAAGCAACTTCACACACAATTTCTTTATGCAATTTAACAGTTAGAAAAGTTGCTTAAGGGGAAGTCTAGTTTCCGATTGCAAGACACTTGCTCTCGCAAATGTACACATTCAAATGATTGAAGCAGTTGTAAAATATTTCATAGTCATAATTTACAAAGAGTTGAAGCTGTGCTTCGCGAACACTAGCCAGAACACGACAAAAAGCAGCTCTATACAGTGCATTAAAAAAAATCCTCAATTTAGATAAATTCCGCTACGGCTCGGAATTGATGTGCGACCTAGAGAATATTAGTCTCATGCACTAACCACTCAGCAACATAAAACAGATGCTATGAAATTTCCAATGCTACAGATCGTGATTATAGCACAAGTGCCATCAAATAAGTGAACACTTTTATTTGCAAGTTAGGTTAGAAAAGAAGGTTCGTACTAATACACTTCGCTGCTCACTAAAGTAAGCAGCGATATCACTACAAGGAAAAAAAATTAGCCAATTTTGACTACCATCTTGAGCTCAGATATCCATTTCTAAATGAAAGAGTGCGTTTACGCACGAAAGCATGCTTGTTGAAAATCCTCAATAGAACAGTTTGGCTAAGAACTACATGAACAGTGTAGCTAGGCTTATATAGACTGAAGCTATAACATGTACATCACATTTCTTAACCATTTAGATCGCAAGAAGTGACCAGCTTAACAAAGTATATATCTAAGTATAATTTTACTTGCTATTTTGAACTTTTTTATGTTTAAGAATTAATCATACATTAATAGATTGCGTTTTCTAGTGATTTTTTTTAGAAATACTTTGATGCCCTGAATATATTCGCTTTCATTCAAGTTTGACAACTTTCTTTTTAGATTTTGGAGAGTGGTTAGTCTTTGCCCCTCCATCAAAATGTTGTTTGTTCAAGGCCCTTTATGTTCCGTACTTGTTGTTTGAGAGTGATACAACATTGCCCATAGCGGGAAAATTATCAAAGAAAATCAAAAAATTCATGCAACTCTTCAAGGGGCAAAACGGTTATTCCCTTTAAAGAGCTGAACAGCTCGCTTGTTAGTCCTTTATCTGGTTTATACACAGTCTTAACTTTATAATTCTTATACATTTGTAAGCAACGTTGCTTTCTGGGCAAAACTCCCAATTAGAGGAGACCTGCTCTCGCAAGTTTAAGAAACCTAGAAAAAAAATTGGCAATCTTTGCTTGAAAAAAAAACCACGGCGATTAGACTATCCAAAAACTATGAGACAAAAAAAAACACATAACACGTATGAGAAATTTGCGAAATTATCCAACCAAACTCGATCATTCTACCGACGTCAGACAAAACGCTGCTTTAATGCCCCCAGCTCACTGCAGAATACTATAAAATAGATTTGATTGAGAAACAACATGCGAACACTTTGAACATTTTTTCAACGGATAAATTCTGGCACCCAGTTGCATTTTCCTTGCTTATCGCTAGACTAAATATCGGCCGGATCGCGACTCAAATAAGATATATCATCTGACATTTCACAAGGCGTCTATGTGTTCCCTGGTGTTGAGAGAAAACATCTGAATACAGTTATTTACCACTCTCATTAAAATTTCTCCACATTTTCAAACTTTATATTCAACTAAACGGCTTTCGGTAGTAACGTAGGCATGCGCCGTATGAGAGACTTGAGTTTTGTGAGCATACCGTTTTGGCTAATTAATATTTCCAATAAAAATCCTGATCTCTGTTCTACAGACTCACTGGAAATAAAAAAGAGACAATTAAAATTCAAATTGAATCTATAGAATCTAAAACAGCGCCTCTGTTGCATATATTGATTGATCTTTTTATTTAAATAGTTTATACCCCTAAATTATATGTTTCCTAACCTATTCTGTTTTGTGATTAGTGTTTCAATACATAGCTTCGCAGATGCTCGCACATCTGTGAGAAGTCGCAGTCGTTTTCGAGCACCGCTTTTGCCGAGAGACATTTGAGAGATCGAATCTTGAGAGGTAGCTTTTCAAAGTCTTCTTCATTCACTTCCTGGTCATCTGCAATAGCCAGAAATTTTTCATACTCCTGACTTTCGTTGTATTTCAATGCTCGGTCGTTGTATTTCAAAAGGGGGCAAAAATCTGTTCGTGTTTCTGCGTCGTAATCGATATGACTTCCGTAATTTTCGAATAGATCTAATACTTGCTGTAGCTGTTTGCATTCGCTGCTATCGCCGCTCTGTTTGAAAAACAATTCTAATGCCGAAAAATGTTCTTTATTTCCCAGGTCTAAATCATAGATTACCGATCGATAGAGTTTCAGCATAATCTCAATTGCCGGTAGATGCGGGTACTCAGTGATGCGATGACGTTCGGCGCCGCAACAATCCGAGCTCATTATCACATGAAGAAGCGTGTTGCCATCCCCATCGCGAATATCGTATGATATTATGTCACTTAAGAGCGACTCCATCTGTTCAGTGAACAACTCCACTCGATCTAGTGCCTTTTTAGAGTCAGATTTGAGTTCAATTTGTTTTAAGTCGTCCTCTTTAACAAGTGAGAAGTATACAACCAGTTTACACATTAACTTCATGCAAGTATGGTCCGTCTTATTCTGGTATGCTATAGATTGCTCAACTGGATTCTTTGACGATGTCTTCTTGTGAAACTTGTATAACACGATACAAGCTTGCAAGACTGACAAGACATCTTCAAGTTTGACCAAGTTAGGACTCGGCGTTGGGTAAACTTGCCTGAATCTATCGTGCTTCTGTGTGTAAAACAGAAACCCGAATAGTTCTACGTATGACTGGATAGCGCACAGTAGAATATTACAGCAAAGAGGGTCCAGGTTGTTTACTAGATTACGCAGAACATATCTCCACAGCTCCAAACAGCGTTCGTAGTCTCCTGAGTCTGCGAGAACTGCCCCTCGATAACGGATGTAGTAAGTCGTGTCGGGATGCTTGAAACCAAGGAGTCGCTGTCGCACGAGAAGACTTTGCATTCGGATGTGGTCAGGGTTGTACTCTTGCATCATTTCCTCGACATCTTCCACACTTTGATACTCGACAATATTTTCCATTTCTTCAACTGGCTGGGCAATATCTTTCAGAAGCTCAACGAGACCCACAGAGTGGTATAAGGTACGCATTTCACTAGCACGTCTCCACCATTTTAAACCTTCCAACAAGTCTTGCTTCTTGTCGATCATGGAACATCCAAGCATTTCCAAAACATCAATTTGCTCTCGTGGTGAGATCCGACTTCCCCTATCGACCTCTTCGGCTATGACGGTCTCGTCAGTAATTGGCGTAATATAGGTGTCCATTATAAATCTAACAACAGATGTATGAGCCGAGATAGCAGCTGCCATCAAAGGTGAAACATTATATTCGTCTCTTTGGAACGTAGCCCCGTTATCCAATAAAAATTTCATTATTTCAACACATCCACCTTCCGCGCAATCGTGTAAAGCCGTGTTCCCTTTACGACTTCTTCGGTTCACTTGAGCTCCATTTTTCACCAATACTTTTACGATTTCAAAATGCTTCTTGTAGCAGGCAATCATGAGACAAGTATGATTGTGTTGGTTTGCAATCTCGAGATCTGCTCCATTTTCAATCAAATACTCCACAATGTCCAGGTGCCCGTCAAAACAGGCAGCTCTGAGAGAAGTAGAATTGGTAGATGTGACAGCATTGACATCTGCGCCACTTTGTAACAAGAACTTTACCACTGCAATGTGTCCAGCGGCACTGGCAACCCAGATTGGCGGAGCATCTTCGATGACTTCGTGCTCAAACCTACAAACATATTATCTCAGCACACCCAAATATAAACATACTATTATACATACACTTATATATATTACCGGAAGGATTTCGTTTGAAATATAAATGCTATTCTAAGATAGTTAAATTATACCTAACGGTCCCGCAGTCGCTCACAGGGAATCCCAAATTGATCACAAGGAACTCCGCAACACTCAAGCTTCCGTTTTGACAAGCACAAATTAGAGGAGTGCTGCCAGATTTTTTAAAATCTTTGAATTCCCAGTTTGGCCACTTTTTGATATACTCTCGCATTAGAGTCGTGCAAATATTTGTTTGGTTTGTCTCGATAGCGCTGTAAATATGGTTGAGAATATCATCAAAAACTGATGGATCCAAAGAAGAATCCAGCATTAGTGAGAAATCCATAACCTTAAAAAGAAAACAATTAATTGCTTCAAGTACAATCAGAGCGTGTCGTTCTTCTTCTTCTTATATTTTCGATACAAATATTCGATTAAAAAAAGCTGATTAGATTGAAATAACCAAGCCGCAGAAAGCTCTTCCACAAGATTACTAAACAAATAAACGAGATTGAATACACTACGATAAGATAACACTTTATTTCTTCTTTTTCCTTTATTCTTTTATAACACTTCAGTACCTTCCGATGGAGGTATTTCACGATAAAAAAATTTGTGATATGTCATTTTTACAGAAACACTTGAAGAACCAAGTACATGATATTATATCATCATATTTAGTATAAACAATGTTCTTGACCAAAAATTCTATGGCAGCAGGCAGAGTTTTGGATTCTGTAACAAATTAAGGCCTTAAAAATGCAATTCATTGGCAAGCTTAGTCGCTCGGAGGAAAATGATTTAAGTAGGACCTTGTTTGAGTGCTGCATGGCAAACAGTGGGAGGTTTCAGAGATTACGTTTAAAAATTTCGAAATATAAATAATCCCAAATGCATAAATCTGTTCCATCATGCAACAGTTTGCTCAGATACACTAGCTCTTCTACTTGGAGACGGAGTGAGATTGGCAAAACTCCACTTTCCGATAGCATAAAATAGTATTCTGAACTTGTTGTCGACCCAAATGTTTATCGTGAATCTGATTACTGTACTTTTTCAAACATTTTGACGTGAGGGGAATCGGAAAACCAGCACAGACAGCCATTTAGTAAATTAGTAACGCACATGACTTGTACAAATGAATTTTCATGCTCTTGAGAAGTGACGTTCCTGCGAAAATGAAATAACACTTAAGCTTTTCAACTGCCTTCTCGAAGCGTGAACCCCATTTGAGATCTGACGATACTAGCAAGCCCACATCATCTTTTGGCACATATCAAAAGTCAAAATTTTGCATCTACCCATGAACTGAGCGAACTTAGAGGGGCCAATTTGAATTGACATGAAATTTGACATGACGATTTAGGCATGCATGACAAGTGACGATTTTTTCGCAACCACTGAAACCGCGAAAAACAGACAGACAATTTCCGCCAGTATAACACAGACGTGCAACCGATATCGAAGACGATTGAAATTACAGTCGACAAAATTTGTAGAACGTTCCGAGTTGTAACGATTTTGCGGCTACAAGCTGTACAGAGCAACTCCCGAGAACCACAACTAACGAATTATTTACCAACTTTCCTGATAGTTAAGAAGACATTTCTTCATCCGGACTCAGGAATTCGGAAAGGGTGTGGGAGAGTAACTCAAAACTGTTTAAACATCTTTTAGCTGCCCGGAATGGCCTGAATTGAATTCACATTAACATCAGAATCGTTTTCAGAGAATGAGAAGCTAGGAGTTGAGGGAATGGTTTGATCTATCTCCGATGGATCTGTGACATTCGACCAGAATGGCCAAAATGCAATTTATGCAGGATTCGAATTTTGAGCAGTAAGCCTTCCGAGTTGATGATTTCGAAGGATTAGCGACGTTATTGGAACGTTTAGCCAAACGGTGAGGGCTAGAATATTCTAGTATTTTAAATTTTTAAAAATTCGAATGATGACGTCACATTTCTGAGAAATGCTGAAACGGCCATTTTAACAAAAAAGCGAGTAAAAAACAGAACAACTTTTATCTGCGATTGCGAACAGTACGAAAATCGAGATTAGAGAACGACAACAAAATACAGAATAGCAGAGAGCGTTCCGAGTTGCAACTATTGTGCTGCTACAATAGTTGCAAGGCCCTTGCCAAGAACGGTGAAGGGTGAGAACCAGCCTTCCGGATTAGCAGGAAATCAAGAGTAAGGAGCTTGATTCAGCGGATTCAAGAATCCGGAAGGGTCTCGGGACGGGAACTTTTATTAACTCACATAAACTTTTAGCATCCTGTCATGTCCTGACTTGAATTTAACTGATATTTTGATTAGTTTTGACAAGGATGAGGTGCTAGGAGTTGGGGGAAAGGGTTGATCCATCTTCGATGGAGATGATGATTTTTATCTACTGAACAAAAACAATAGTAATATAATAAGTAATAGCCCTGTTTTTAGGAGTGACCTCGTGGTCTGGGGATACAGAGACCCAGCCATGAGCTCACTAATTTTGCATGTAACTCAGTTAATTTGAGCGTTCTGGTCGAAGCCGGAGAACAGTAACGTTTTTGTCAGCCTGATGTAAGAAAGACCACCGAAAAGTACTGGCTTGGTAGAGACGGTGAAAAACATGAAAAGCTCTGTTTAGACGCTAGCCAGTCGTCTTAAGACTTAGTTTTGTTATCCGTCGATATGTATCTTCCGGGCGAATGTTACATGTATGTTTTTATGGCGCTCCTGGGTGTTATTTTTTCATAACATCATGACCGGCGGAACCGTTAACGAGCACTCCGCGCCGAGCGGATGCTCACATTAACGCCCTTAATAGGCCTAAACTGCCGGGGCGGAAGGGTAGTTCGGAACGCGGAAGCCTTCCGGATTACCGTGAATAGTTTTTTAACCTAGTTAAGACCGAAAATTCACGAACCAGGAAGGGTGGGGGGAATCATGAACCCCTCATCCCCTGAGTGGTTTGTGACCAAAAACACTTAAAGATATCAGCAAAACCAAACAAAAAGTAGTATAGTACCCAAGAAAAACAAAAAACATAAAAAATAACCGAAAAAACCAAAAACAGTAAAAAAGTAAAAAATCAGTAGAAATCATCCCCCCAGACAAGATGTGATTCAACCCCCCCGTTTGTTGTTGATAGATATATTGTTGTTACAGGCATTTATATCAGTCAGGATCGTTACGATCAATTTTGTAGCCCGTTTGTGAGGCTTGTACTGTAGGGTTATTTGAGCATTTAAGCACGTTAATGATAAATTGCGCTCAATCCGGAAGGGTCAGCTGATTTGCGCTCAATTCGGAAGGGTCTTGGGTGAAGACCGATCCGGCAAGCAGTACAAGGAGCAACAAGAAGGGGCTCAACGACAACAACAATCGACTGTTGGGTATCGTTAACAAGTTTTGTATCCCTTTTGGTACAAAAAGTAAGATAGTAATCTGTGGGGGGCTCGACAGTGCTGCACTGTAGTGACCCTTCACCGAACTGCGAATATCCGAGTTAAGCACCTTAATTTGGATAATAAACAAACCCGGAGGGGTATAGTATTACTAATATTATTATTCATATAGCCTATATTAATAGTCACATATCGTTTTTCAGAGAAAAACAACGAAAACAGACCGGTTTTTAGGGTCAAAATAGCGATATTTTGATCCCCCCACAAGTCGCGATTTTTGAGATATCGATATTTTTTGAAACGGAAAAAAGCGCTAAGTTAGTGTGTTACATCGTAACTGCACTACGGTAATAAGTAGAACCGGTTAACTTTAGTTCGGAAGTGGTTGGAACTAGTTTGGTACCAAAAACCAAATTTTCCCAATTTTTGATAGTAAGAAACACTAAAAATTTAGAAAATTTTTTGAAATTTTTGAGGTAGGACAGTAAAAATAGTTGTTCGGACAACGTCCACTAGTGAATCTACAAGTCTTAAAATCCGCTACCCGAAAGCCTTCCGGGTTGCAGAGAAATCGAACATAACGTGTTTGATTTGGTAGATTCATCAATCCGGAGGGGTCCAGGTAGCATAGTTTTTGGCAAAATTTTTCTACAATAGCGTTTTAGATCGGGTCTTTTGCATTGAACTAGAAGAGTATAGGCCTTCTGAGCTCGGATCAATAATTTTTAGGTCGAAAGGACCAGATTTGCGGAAAAAGTTAAGCGGAACCTATAAGAGAGAAAATTTTTTGAGTTCGGAAAAAAGACGTTTTGGTTAATAACTTTGGAACTACTGATCATATCGAGTTGATCTTGGTACCAATAGATCAGAAATTAGCTGAGCTTACTAATAGGATCAGAAATTTTTCGGAAAAGCGAGCAAGAAAATTTTTTGAGATTGTTTTTAGCAAATTACACAAATCCGGAGGGGTACACCCTTTACGTTTTATAAATTTTTCTGAAAAACCCTTATACCCCTACCAAAAGTTGATAGCGATTGAACTAAGTAACTTAGGACAGTTCTAGACAAAAGGGAGGGCTGAAGGCACAAGACAACCATAATAGAGTCGAAATTAGGCAAGTGATAAGACCCTTCACCGTTAGGGTGAATTGTCAAATAAGTGCCTTAACTTCAATCCGGAGGGGTCTAGGAAAGGACCCTTCCCAGTTAATTCAAACAGCATAAAAGCAACGCAGAACATATCCGGAGGGGTATAAGCTGAGATTAAGAAAACTACGAAAAGCTACTTTCCACAAAACCGGAGGGGTCCGAATCCGGAGGGGTCTTATAGTTGCTAATTCGGAGGGGTCCAAATCCGGAGGGGTCTACTATTAACTAACTCGGAGGGGTCCCAATCCGGAGGGGTCTATATTCTGACAGTCCGGAAGGGTCCTATTTGTGCCAATCCGGAGGGGTATTATTTTATTAAGGACTTAGGTAAACGAAAGAAAGACTAAAAAGCGAGAGGTATTAGGTTATTAATACACAGGCTAGGTATCAGTGACTGCACTGGTAACTTGCCTTTCAAAAAGAACCAGACTAATACAAAACAGGTCCGAACTCGGATATTCGCGACACTAAGTCTAAATTAAAAAGAGCGTGACTCATTGGTGTGGATTGAAACATAATACGTTTTTGGGAAAAGTGACTGCCCTGAGGATTTTAGTAGGTCTAGCTCGGGCAGTCCGAAGGCAGAATAGGTAACACAGTACTCGGTGGGTGCAATAGACGCCCACTTGAGAAAATTACTGCCTTCAAAGTTTTGTCTGTTTGGTGCAGCACCAAGCAGGGAAAGCTTTTTCTTTAAAAGACAGGTTCGACTATTGTACTGCGACCGACTAAGAGTACAAGACACATACGTTTTTTTATATATACGTTCATATTGTGTCAATATATATTTTTTTGTTTTTTTTTTATTT